GGTATATGTATCTTATGGCATATATATTAAATATACTTTTAGAGTTCATCAGAAGTCACATTTTTTACTTTTCCTCACGTAATGAAAGGTATTGGGAAGCAAATAACTTCTTTTTTTTTTTCACATCCAATAAGAAATGTGAATTTAAAGAGGCAGTTCAGTGCAAAGAGCAAGTTAATCTTCAGCAAGTTTCTCCAAAAGTTAACTGGGCTCCCTATTTCTACTCAAAAATGCTCCAGTACCAAGGCAGTGGGCGGGTCTCACAGTGCAGTTTCTTTTCAATGTCAGGACACCTTTCCAATCTGAAGCATCCTTCTCGTGAACATACATACTGAACAGGAGCTAATAACTCTAAGTCACCTCTTAGCAAAACGAACTAGAAAGAGTTGCCTAAGTATCTTGCTCTAAGGTATGTTTTCCAATCCCTGAATCATTCTTATAAATCTGTACTGATCCTTCTGAACCTTTCTGAAGTCTGACTACCAGAACAGGATAAATACTTTACTACCCCTGTTAATATATGGTAAATCTGGCCATTTGGCAAAGAATTAAAGTTAAAATAATTGGTTAAACCACAAATAGAAGAGACATTAGGCAAGAAAATACCAGTGAAAGACATCAGTTTGTCACTTCAAATGAGATTTTTAATACATAAGGTGAAAACTAGCTTATTGCCTGCTTGGAATGTAGTCAGATATCTGATGCTCAGTACAGCTGCATTCTCTCCAGCTTTCATGGCTTCAATAGACACTGAAATGAATCTTCAGTTTGTTTTTAAAATTAATTGCCAAAACTATAATATTTTTTCTCAGCATTGGTTGAATTGATTTGCTGTAAACTGATTTAGCACAGAATGTAGAGCGTGTTGAAAGTGAAATAATAAAGCTATCTGTCACAAAGCCAAGGGACCTCTCATCAGCTTGCATATTAGTAGGCCCAACAGCATGGATCTCATTTACTTCATACTTGCTCCAAAGCAAAAGCTATCATCATTCATGAATGGTAAATACACTGTCTTAAATATAACTTTATTCAATAGACTTTAAAAATGGAATACTAGACACTGGATGCAATTGCTACAGAATGTAGAAGACCTGTGCATGATATAATTTTCTTCCGAGCTGCCCCTTTTTTGATATTGTGGGAGTTTGCTGATTTGCTTTAAGGAAAAATATTATCATAAAAACTCCAGGCGAGTAAACGTGCTTTCAAAAGCTTGTTGCATTACGCCTTTTATTTTACCTACATTCCGACCCAAATCCTGCCTTGACAGATCCAGATATAAGAACTGTGGTCTTTGAATAAGCTCAGAATTGTATATATTCATCACCTATTCACATTTTAATAAGCAACCCAGCTTCATTAGCCTCATCCTTTGAAAACCGTTAGCACCCAATACCAGCACAAAACTCAGTGCAGAAATAGTGACCATCTGAACTTACATAGAAGAGAAAGCTCCATTTCTTTTCAAGTACAATGGATTAACATAAAGAGAAAATATCGCTAAATTCATCCTGAATGTTAAAACCACAGACTGCAATGGCATTAAGGGTCAAAGATGAGTTTGGCCTACTGTGGCTACGACGATCTAATTTAATTAACATTTACGTTCTAAAAAAAAAAAACCAACAACATTTGCAAGTACTAAGTAATATGGTAAATATGGAACAAATTATCAGCAACAGCAGGGGCGATTTAAAATATGCATCTTGAGTTTGGAGTCACTCAGAAACCTGTGGTGATGCAATCACTCAAACAGAGTGATCATTATGAGTTTAACTTTGCCAAGAACGCGTGTGCAAACTGTCTTCCAGAGACTCATCCATTGTGGATGACACACGAGCTGCCCCTGGTTGTTGGAACACCTCATCCACGTGGGACCATGCCTGCATGTTTTTGCACATCAGGTGTTTCCTAGTGCCCTAGAGCAGGGCTTTTCAGTCTCTTTTGGTTTGAAAACCCTTACAGGTTTTCTAAGGCACAATGCAGACCCCTGTGTAGTGAGTTTAAGGTGGTGATGGCTGCAGGTTGCAGCCTGGGAGGTTCAGACAGGCCATGACTCTGTGAGCCAAAGGAACACTGACCTCACCTGTGTCACAGCCCCCATTGCCCTCAGGGGGCCTCCATCACCTCAGAGCCCCAAAAATGATAAATACCTGAGAGGCGGTGGCAACGGCCATGGATGGTTGGCGTAGAGGAAGCGATCCACACTGCGCTTTAGCTGATGCTTTAGCAACGTGGGTGCCATGTCTGGAGCACGGCTCTGCCGTAACCTCACAACAAAGGGCCCAGGCACTGTGGAAAACACCGAAGGATTTCTTTCATCCCATTCCTTTATGGGTCCTTGGATAACTCCCCTCTCCCGCGCCCCGCAAACCTCACAGAGTTTACATAAGGGTGTAAAACCAAACTCAGGGGACCCCAAGACAAGGCTGGCAGCCGCCATTACCTGAGGCTGCCCAGGAGAGGGCGCCGCGCGGCTCCCGTGGGACGCCATTTTGGGCGGGCGTGAGGTGAGGTGAGGAGAGGGAGAAGAAAAGGGGTGAGGAGAAAGGAGGTGATGACGGCAGGGTGTCCATGCCCGGCCTGCTGCGGTGGCACAGACGGTAGCGTGCGGGCGGCGAGGGGAGCTGTCAGCCTCAGCGCGGGGCTGGCACCAGGGTCCCAGGACAAAGCAGTTTCCCGCCTCTGCATGCTCTGTCACCACAGCCCCGCCGGGGGCTTCAGGCTGCTGAGGTGTAACCCTGCGTAACGCTGTACCGCTGACCCGATGTTTAGTAACAAACTAATGAAGTTAATGAGGACATACTTAGACTGGTAAAAATCTCTTTCAGGAGCTGGCTGGCAGTGGGGAACAGCGCTTTGTGCGCGGGAGGGCTGGGGCCGAGGTCCTGGTACTGAGCTGACCAGGGCTGTGGGGCAGGAGGAGATGGCCGCTGGATGTGCTGCCGGTCCTGAAGAGAGATCTACACAGCTGAGTAGCAAACTTATCATTGCTTACCTGAGCTGCTAACCTCTGTAACGGTCCTTTGTAAAATTCACATCTCTGGGCATCGAGGAGGGGGTACAGCATACTCTGTGGCTCACAGTTGTTTGCAACTTCCTCCTCCCCACCCTGAGGCCCAGCTGTGTCTTATTTACCTAATTACAGGCTGTGGAGCTGACCCAAACAAGGCAGGAGCGTGTCCCTGCAGTCAAACTGCAGACTCAGCTGCAGGAGAACGGATTCAGGCTGGGACCATCAACACGTGTGAAATGCCGGTTACGTGCATCTTCCCAAATAAAAATATCAGGAGCAGCTGAAAACCTCTGTAAGACAAGGTAAGGAGTCCATGGCTGCCTTCACAAAGTACCTGAAGCAGCCCCCTCCAGCTGAGCCCGTGGCACGTGAATTTACACTGGGGGCATCCTACATCTGGAGACAAGCGGCGTGTAGCTCGTGTGCTGGACCTGTGCCAGGGTTAAGCCCCCAGTAGTGGAGGCTGGATCCCTGGTAGCACTCGTGATGGGAGGTCAGGCGCAATGAAAGAGCCCTAGTAGTTTGAGAAGGAACACACCAGCACCTCTCCTGATGGGAGGTCAGGCGCAGTGAGCAGGAGGGCCCCCCTCGTGCTGGCAGCTCCATTCCAGTGTTTGGCTGGACTCCAGAAGATTAAAATAGAGCCTTAGACTGTCCCCTCAGCAGCACTGCCAGCCAGAGCCCTGACAATCCTGGGGTTGTACTCAAACGTGAGTCCCTCGGGAGCGTGGGCTTTACCCTAACAGCTGAGGCACTGAGTCGGTCGAAGCAGGCAGGGTTATTGCTCTTGTGACTCAGACTTGAGGAAAAGAGGGATCAGGATGGAGCCACGAGAGAGCAGGGGATCAGAACGAAGCCACAAGGCACAGAAGGGGGAAGGAGCAAGTGTGCCCCAGAAGAAAGCTTGAAAAAATCCTTCTTCTTCTGGGTTCAAAGCATCTGTAGCCATGAGAATCTGGCATTAAACTATTCAAGCCTAAGTTTGATTTTTCTCCTTTCTGTGACCATTTCAGGAAAAAAAGAAGTTAAGCAAAACCAAAAAGCAACATTTTCCTTTTTCAGACATTTAAAAAAGCAATATGGGAAAAGGCAAAGGCTGTGCAGGTTCTTGTGAAGAACCCCCATACAGGTGGAAAAGTCTGTTGTGGTTCAGAAATGATCACAAGTGAGGGTAACTGGCGCAACATTCTTGTACATGTGTGACTAAATATTAAGTGTTTCAATAAAACATCGGATTTTCAGAAGTGAGGAGCAGTCACAAGTACCAGTAAAATCAACAGCAGTGGCAGATGTCAGCATTTCTTACAGAAGGGTGTTTCAACCCAGTCATCTATTTCAGATTTATTTATCACCACTTAATGAAGGCATCCACACTTGAAGTGTTTTCCTTCAGGGTTTTCAGAAAGTGATTACAAACAGTGCTGGACAAAACATTTTGGCATTGCCTTTTTTTCCACTGAACAATCAAATCTGGTTGAAATTTTAAAATAATTAATCTTGAAGATATCACATTGATTCAGTCAAAAAATGACCACATCACCAAATTCAGTGATTGTATTTTGATATTTCCAAAACAAAGCACTTATACTTACTGGTATAAAAGGCTGTTTTGTCTTTAAATTGACACTAGTAAGTTCAAAAATTGCTTCTCGGTTTACCATTTTTTGTTTGTGAGCAGCAGAGCAGAGGATTCTACCTGGTTTTGTTTTCCTGCGTGTTTACTGTAATAAAAATGAGCTAGAAAATCAAAATAATGAGACCTGTTATTCACACAGGTAAGGAGCCAGAAGTCCTACTCGTTAATTAGGACTATTTAATATTTATTAATTAAAAACTCTTAAGAAAATAGAAACATTTTAATAACCGTTTCCTAAATGAACATATGTTTATTTGATTTGAAAAGAGCCATCTGGGGAAGAAAGCAGTGAAGCTTATTAATAAAGATTTTTTGTGTGTTTGCAAAACAAACAAAAAACCCAAATGAAACCCAAAGCCTTTATTTAGGACAGAATTAAAAAATAAGTTAATAGTTTGCTCAGAGAGATGACAGTTTATATAAGTTAATACATTTGAATGGACCAGGGAAATGGTTATCTTTTGCTGTCAGACGAACAAGTCAAAAACATGCCTATAAGAGTTTGTTAACTTCTTTCCAGTTGATTTAAAAGCATTTCAGTAAAAGAGCATAGAACACAGAGGCAGTTATAAAACAGCACTGTCCTTGAAGAAACCATGGCAGACTTGTTATAAAGGTCTGTAAGTTCACCTACATGTCTTCTTAAATAAAGAAGAAATCTCAGCTCGGGGCAAGCAAAACATACGAACAACAAGGCCCTAAAAATTGCATGGTACATGCAGAAATGCACCAACGTAATTTAAGTACATGCACACAAAAATCCTTCTTTGTCTTGTGGTGGTTCTAGTTAATTTCTTAGGTTACTGTACCTGACTGATTACTTGCATTTGTTTGTTGTTTTGTTTGGGTTTTTTTTCTTAGTAAATTTGCTAACAATCTTAATGGTTTGAAATTAAAAATCAGGGAAGAAGAAGTGACTAACAGTCACGTTTTATCTTACATTTTAAGAACTATTTTGCTCTGCTGCTTAACTCCTCTTTGGCTGTGTTTTGGTTAAAATACTTTCCATGTGTGAACATACCCACAGATACTCCAGTAAGATGCTGTTATTCTGAAGCTTGCCATGAGCTGGCCTGTCAGGGCTGAAATACAGACATTTGTCAACATTTACATTACCACATGTACTTGTGCACAAGCTATGGATAATTGATGGTGGTGTAAGGATCTGTAGCCAGAAAATTATGTCCCTGCTCTGTCACAAGCTGTCTGTGTGACCTTGGGCATGTCAGTTATTCCAGTGATGGCATTATCTGTACCAAAGGGGGAAGAGTACGTGAAACGTTGAGAGGCTCAGACAGTGTGATGGTTAAATACATTTAGTAACCTGTCCATCTTTGAAACAAGGTAAACAGTGACCCAAAGCAGAATCCTTCCAGTTTCACTGCAGCATTCAAAATGGAGTTGTTCTTCTCTTGCTTAAATACAGTAACCCAATTTTATACTGTTAGAAATGTTGCCATGCTTTGCTTTTCTGTGTACAAAAATATGTGAAAAACCAAGGAATTGCAACAGAAGAGTGTGTTTCACTTTTATAAGGTAATTCCCTCTGTAGGTAGTAGCCGGGGTGTTTCTGGACTATGAGCAGATTATCCACGGAGTGTTTGCAACAGGGCTTGAGCAGGGATTCACACCAGGAACGTGGAGCAGATCTGTGGGGCTGTCACTGTAACTGCACAGCGGAAAGCGCCCGTGCGACACCCCCAGGCGTGGGGGAGAGGGCTCTGCCAGCCCCCGAGGCTTTTATGCTCTTCCCTTTGATGCAAAGATGCTCCTATGCCAGCAACGTCTGCGGTTGTTGTAACACACAGATTAGAAAGATGCCACTTCAAATCTGACTACCCGGATATCGCTTCTGTATTACAGCATTTACATTTATATAAATTGAATTTCAGTTTCTGTTGACTTTGATGGGAAGTTATTTTTACCCACAAACTCTGGAAGCCATGCCTATTTCATTTAGGTTTCTGAATACGTAAACCAAAATAAAAATTTGGAGACCATATTTGAAAGCTTGGCCTTAGAAAAAGTCACTTCCCAATAAAAGCAAAAGAATTCAGAGAAAAACACAAATTACATTCAGATTTCCGTGGATTGTAAAGCTCACATACGTGAGTACCTGATGATGGTCAGATAGAACGTATTTCAAAAAACAGTTTAAAGATTATCCACAAGTAACACATGGTATTTAGGATGACGTGAACGTATACACTAGCATTTTTTTGTTAATGAGGGAGAAGACTTGAAGCACATAATTTCAGAAGATCACAGGAGCTGTAAGAATGCAAGAGCACTTCAAGTCTTCTACATCTTAAAAGAGCTAGGTTTCTATGATATTAGATCAAACAAAAAAATCTATGTTAAGAACATTTTTATGACAATGATTCACTTGAATAAACCTAAGATTTCTTTTACCAACCAATCTTTTTTTCTAAAATAGTATTTAATATCTGAAGTTATAAAAAATATTTGTAGTCTTGAAAATTATTTTTATTATCTATTTTATGTACTATACATGCCTCTTTCAGGAATTATTAAAGAAGCATGAGTCATACGGCACTCATTTACTCTTGGCTCGTGGCCATCCTCAATATATATTTTGCTATTTTCAAACCATTTGCAGGTACATATGCATGAAAATATTGTTGTGTCAAGTCCCAAGATCACAGTTAGCACAGCATACATTGTTCATCTATATATTTACAAAGTTTTAAAGCACATAAAATTGTGCATTATTATGTAGCAAAGTTTAAACTTTAACATACACTTGGTTGCATATATAGCAACAAGTTACAATAAAAATCTGAACAAAGACAACCAATAAACAGCCAAATTGCTATGTACAAACAAGGCAGGAAGCAATTAAACACCGCCTTGCACATTTCACTTAAATTACTTTTTCTCTGAGGGGAAAAAAACAAACAACCCCTCTTCCCCTCCCCCAAGTCCCCAATAACCCTAAACAGTCTTCATTTTTATCAGGGAAATAACTGGAACTCCCACTGCATTTATTCCCCATATTTGCATAATATGGGGAAGAAATTTGGTCCCTATTATAAAATATAGCAATATATTGTGCACTATGCGTTCGCCCCCAGTACAACCAGTAACACAGCAGCATGACGGGCTCCGACAGTGGTCCCTGTGACCTCTAGAGGAATATTCTGGGAGATAAAAAACCTTTTGTCTTCTGTACGTGTATCATTTTTTACACCAGCATAAATGTGTTGTTTCCCTGCTGATTCCACTGATCCAGATCCTTGGCTGGTTCTGAGCCGGCCGGGGGAGCCAGTGGAGGTTCACTGATTTGTACACCCTGGTACCTGACTCGGCGTCAGTGGAGCCACTCCTGATTTACACTGGTGCAAAAAACCCTGGAACGAGGTCCAAGGACAGCAGGACTGGGCCCAAACTGACCTTTCTGTAAAGTAAAACATGAAAAGTCTGTGCGTTTAGCTTAAAGTCTGCTTAATAAGTTACTACCATTCACAGTAATAAGGTAGATTAGTGCTACACCAATCACTTGCTCTAATGTTAGATCAATTTGACACAGCTTTTCCAAGAAAGAAAATAATAATAAACAGAAAAAAAATATCTATTCTTATTATTTGACCAGCAAAATAGGAGGTTTTCTGTAGCCTAGTGACAGACAAGCTCAGTAACACATTACCCTGTTGTAGGATGACTGCTTTAAAGGCTGAATCTTGCCCAAGGTGCTGTGGTACGGAAAGGCCGAGGAAGGTGTTCTATCCTGGTTATTACTTCGCCCCAAAAGTCCCGAACAAAGACCGTGAACTGGGTATGGGCTCGTAAACACCAGCAGGGAGGAGAGATGATCTCTGAGCTGGTGGGGTCTGTGCTGCTTTCAGCAATCCTTGGGGCTGCCCCAAAGCCCAGTCAAATCAAGCAAACCTCCCCGGGTGGCTTTGCCAACGCTCGGGTAGCAGAAGAGAGGGCCGATGGCTCAGCCCGCCTTAGGGAGCACTGCCCTTGGGTTTGCAAAAAATATTCTTGGCCAACAGCTCTGCCTTTCACTTCTGGGCATGATTGAGCCTTATGAATTCTACTTCATGGAATCAAAAGATAAATTATACTTACAAATAAAGTATTCTAACTATTTAATATTTTTCTGTAATGGAAAAATCAGAGACCCCACCTGATGAAATCTCTGTTGTCTGAAAATTCAAGGTCTCTTTACTAAAAATACTTTTTGCTGATGGCAAAGTTCAACACCTCAGAGAAATTCAGAGCAAGTTTCCAAGCCATATACCATTTTTTCAAATACAATATACCCTTGTTGTTTGTAAGGCTGTATTGAAGTTTTACATAACAGTCATGAGCCATGCATTTAAACACCTTAAAAGAGTTGACCAGCAACTTAATGCATTTCTTTATACTATAGAGAATTTAAAGATGCACCATCTCTTTCCAAAACACTCTAAACATAAATGTTCAGGATAAAATATTACATCTTCCCCCTCCCCCTTCAATGTCTATATTAAAAATACTAATTTATGGATTTCTCTGTGTTTCCTCTTGCTGTATAGAAAATCCAATTGTTAATTAAAATCTAAAGGCAAAGACAAAAATAATACAGGCCTGGGAAGGAAATGCTTGAGCCACAGGTTCCTTGAGGCAAACTGTCCACGGGCAGACTGCCTTCTTGTGGATGCAAGGAATTTTGAGTGTAAACCTTGCAGTTTACCTACATCTTGCTTCCTACCAGCAGAGAGAAAAAAGTTTCAGACCATGGGAGATATGGTCCATGGTTTGTTGTTTGTTTTTGTTTCCGTGGAGTCATAATATTAAAGCACTATATTCTTTTGTGGCCAGTCCAAGTCATGCCTGGAAATAGGGAGGGACTGGGTTCAGCTCAGGTGAAAATACACTGCCTGGAAAATGGAGGACAGAAATTCTGTGGCAAGACCTATGAGTAAGAGAGGAGCTACCCAGAAGTTTGCAAAGCCCAGGGACCCATTTTAGAGCTGAGCTTCAGCTGATGGAAGAGAGTATAGAGTCATTTGAAAGATCTGTCTGCTGCCTAATGAAATTCTCCTCTGCTGTGGGCTCTGAGCCACAGCATTTCCCGTTTCTGCTCAAGAATCCTTGGAGGGGCACTCTTAGCTCAACCTGCAGAAAGGCCCCCTAGTAATTAAAGGTCTGAGTTCCTAATTTTAATTAGATTCCTGACTAGAAGCCTTTCCCCTAAGCATTACTCGGAAGAGTCACTCGTGCCTTTATGGAGTGGGGATAACAGTGCTGTATTTTTCATTATTCTTCTGAATTGCGATGGTTACTTATGAAATGTAAATGAACCACAGAAATATTTGAAAGGCACCACTTTCTACTATTTATTTATCTCTGGGTCTTCATTGCCATTCTTTTAAGGAGCTGCTTTACTCAGTTACCCACTGAATAGGTAGAGATAGCGATTTTGAACAAAGAACACATATTTCTACCAAAAGTTAATTCATTGCTTTATAACCAGAAGTATTTAAAGTCAGAACTATCAATTACTATTTCACCTATATGAAGTATGTGGAAGAACCTCAATCTAGAGGTCACAGGATGAAGGAAGCATGCCCCACTGGCTGTCACGTAAACACTATTTCCATATAATGAGGTTAAAATCAAGATGGGGTAGGTTGTGGCTGGCGCTTGCACACTCCCAAGAGTCAAATTCCACCCTAGCACTGAAGATTATGATGAAGTCAACCCTTTCTACCAGTAAAGAATCCAGCTTTTTATTAGATACATGACTACTTCTGGAAAAGCCCAGCAGCAGTAGAAGAGATGTTTCCATCAGTACCTCCCCAGCAGTGTGTACCTGTCCTTCTGCTGTAGATTTTGCTAGTTCTTGCCCTCACTGTTCCTGAAGAGCCAAAGCAAAGCAAGGTGGGTTTCATTTAGGAACATCTTGTTTTATCTCGTCACTTCCTGCAAAAACATATGGCCTCAGCATATTGTTATTTTTATTCTTTAATAGACATTTTTACGGCAGTTTTGCTTCGAGGCTAAACAGATTAAGGGAGCCTGGGTTAGGTGCTCTGTACTAGACAACAATGTAAATAATTTTGACTTCTGAATATGAGCACGAACATTGTTCTGGCTCTCCCTGGTGAAAAGCCTTCTGCTAATGAACATAATCTAATGTAACAAGCTGCTGCTGCCTTCGGTGACAGTAAAACATCCCTGTTTGGTGCTGTGGGGTGTGAGTCAGGTTTTCCCCATGCAGTTCCACACAATGTATGTCCTTCTCGCTGCAAATTGGCACTGGCCCTTCTGCTCCCCCCCGCATCTTCTCACCCACAGGAATTTCCAGTGCTGGTCGCGTTCAAAGCCTGGGGAAGTGAATGGAAGTCTTTCCATCCTCACTGAGCTTTGGATCAGGTAATGAATGAATATTTTTGGTGCAAAAAGTTAACTTCCCTCTCCCAAAAAGAGTAGTTACAAATGTAAATCCCTTATACAAAGTTTTTGCCCTTATATCACTGCAAAGACTCTTCTTGGCTTCCACATACTGACCAAGCATAAAATAGTGAATAACATTTATTTTTGAATTTATGGATTGAGTTCACAGGGATTTTAATAGCACTGGGGTTATGGAAGTGCTATTTTAATAAGGACCACAGATCATGGGCCCAAATCCTTACCTTTACCTCAAGGACTTGTAAACTCAACTATTTAACTCAAATCTCTTTATTGGAGGCCTTAGAATGTATCCACCTGGAGGCTGAAAAATTGAAAGGTAGAAGGCTGCACAAACATGGAGTGAGGGAATTTAACCAGCAGGAATGTGGCCCGTAAAATTAAACTTCAAGAACTGTTTAAGAAAAATTAAAGCTTGTGCAACAGCTGGGGTTTCTCTCCACATTAGTTCATTTCTTAGTGACTCAAATGTTACAGTTTTCATTAATACAGATTTCATTTTTGAGATGATCTTCTGTAGTACTATAAGTCTTATTCTGGTTGCAAAGGACAAAATCATGACTTACTGTGATCTTCCTTTAGACAAATACAACATGCTACAACACCACCTCCTGCTCTTATTTACTGGTGGCCCAAATAAAAAAATCTTAGATTCAAATTGCACCCCAAGTTTCCCTAATCTGAATTGCCAGAATATCCCCATTTCAGACATGGTGATCGAATACCCCTGACGTTTACAGGGAATATTCAGGGACAAAAACAGGGGCGTTTCTTTCCAATGGGGGTATGAGAGTGCCTCCAACATAAAGAAATGCGCTCTTGGGTGGTGGGCAGAAGAAAAGACCAGGCTTTGCTTCAGTCTCACTTAGACCCTGCATATTATTCCTTCAGAACTTGGCCTCATTCTACCTCCTCTTGACCTCAAAGGTACCTCTTAAGCTTTTAAAATAACTCACTACTTATATAATTTGAAATCTAAGCTCCTGAAAAAAACACATTGTGATCATTATGTCAGGCTCTGACAGCAGTCGGAGATGGTGCTGACTGCATTTTCTAGACATTGAAAGAATTTTCATTTCTCTGTAAGTGGCTAGAAACTCTGGGTTAACTGTGTTACTAGACCAGTTAGCACTTCAGTTCTGTGCAACCTAAATCCATTCAAGAAGGCTGGGAAGTAGGAAAATTTATAGGAAATGGTGGAAAACAGGCTAATAGAAGTATAGGACACAGTCCTAACGAGACGACACCAAGGATGTTACAGTTTCTGCTAACCTGCAGGCAGAACAACTCATGCTTAAAATTTTGCATGCTGCAAGATACATGGAAATCAAGAGAACTGCAAAACCTGATTATTAGATTTGCAGCCACAGATAGTTCTGTTATATGGTGACTGTTACGACTCTACCTGCAAAACTGCAGATGCCAATAATAATGCTTGCATCATGACAGATACCCCTGAAAGACGAGAAATCTGCGGATGAAGTCAAAAGATTAGGATTGTTTTGAGTGGCACGAGTTGCCTTTTCAGGAGCTGGATTTTTACAAGTGGTTTTGAAGGTATGGCCCTGTATGCATAATGCCTCCTGTCTCACTGAGGAGCAGCAGGAAGCAGTGCAGAAGTCTGGGGTTAAAGTGTGCTGCTGAAGACTTCTGAGACGGCAGAACCCGACTGGTCATCCGGACCCATTATCTGTTGCATAGCGTTATGCACATCCTTGTGTTCTACAGGCTCTGTGCTCATTGCCCTAGACTTGCCCTCTTCACCCAGAAATGTTGTTTTATAAGGCTCCACGTGTATCCTATGGACGTTCTGCTTCGATTCCTCAGACGTGCCTTTCCCATCTTCTGGAAGGCTGGATGTATGAGGTAAGAAAGTGCTCCGAGACCCATCAATGGGAATGTTTAACTGCTCACTGGAGGTAGGTTCTTGAGACAAATCTGAAGATGTCATGAGATGCTGAGTATACACACCTTCAGACAGAGACCCAGACTGTGTCTCGCTGTGCACACGCAGCCAACGATGATGCCGGCTGAAGTAGTTGTAATGTTGATGTTTCCCTAGCTTTTTCTTCCCTAAAAAGCTCAATGGCTGCTTGGAGCTAGAGGACTTGTCTATGCTTTTGGATGTAAGTCCTGACATTGTTAGATTGTTCATATACTCTGTGCAATATTCAGCATCAGTATCAAAGGCACCACACTCTTTCAAGGCATCACCTTCTTTCAGTGTTAGGCAAGGCTTCATGTCGTGGACTTGGAGCACGTCAGGTGCACTGCCACCCAGGCCACTGCCCGCCTGCTGCGATATGTCATGTGAAGAGGAATAAATCAGGTCTAATTCTCTGGGGCTTAATGCATCACTGGAGTCATAGTCACTGTCAGTTGGAAGGAATACTTCGGAGCAGCCTTCTTCATCTGAGCAGGGCTGGGAATCTGCAAAGAGAACTGATTAAGAAGACAAGGACAGGAGAGAAATTGTTTAACTGTCATTTATGTTTTTTTTTTCTGAAATTGTATGTTTCCTCTGTGGAGTTGTCCGTGGGCTTAGGTGACAGCAAAGACAGTAGTAAGGGAAGATTTACAGATGTGTCAGAGAGGAGGTGGTAGAATTAGGAAAACCAAAAAGGATTCATGTATTAAACTAAGTGCAAGGAAGAATTTTACTTCAAATTGGGATTAAGTTCTGAAAGGATCAGTTTTCTTTCCTCCTGTTTTCACCAAATTTTATAGAGATGGAGATTTTGGAGAGAGAGTAACTCTAATCCACGTTCTGTTTTTATTAAAGATGTCAGTTGAATTACTCCAGATTTACAGCTCTGTAACTGTGAGCAGGGTGCAACTGTACGTGTGCGTAGGAGGCCTCAAGCAAGACATGGCAAAAACTGCCCTTTTGCCCATCAGGTGTATTCTGTGCGTTCAAATCCAAAGCAGATACACTTAATTGAAAAGTGAATTTGTTGATCAAAACTCACACTGGGACTGAAACCACTGCTGTCTTTTGGGTACTGAAGGATCAATAACATAATACATAGTGGTATATGTGGTGGAACGGACTGATGCTCCTCTGCCCTGGATAGTTTATATTAGGTCCAAGGGAAAACTGTAGATTTTATAAAGTGCTGACTATTCACTTTGACCTAGGGTAAGTTACCATATAGCACAGCAATAGTAATTAAGCTCCTGCAGGACGAGATAATGCTCTGGGTTACATGGTGCCAGAGCTAAGGATTATTCTGCATTCATGGCCTGTAATACAGGGAAAAAATTAGCTCAGGGAGAGATGCTGAGATAGAACAGCACTGTGTAATGGAGTGAATCAAAGCACCATTGTCTTTGGGTTTCTTTTCTTTTAACCTAATCTAATCAGAGTAGATTTATTCCTTTTTCTTAACTGTATAAAACTGCCAATTTGAAAAAAACAAATTATTATTACCAAAATGGTCATGGCAGTTGTTTAATGCAGCATCTGTTGCTTTTGTTTCTGCTGTTTCATTTACTCGTTGCTTAAAGACAGCTCAGCAGAATGATGGTTTAGATTTTTCTCTAAAGTCCTTATTCTGCTAGCAAATTAGATGTGAGTTTCATTTGCTTCATCTTTATTTGCTGTGATCCATTTCTTTCATCAGTTTAATTTTCCAGCTGTTCAGAGAAGCAATAATGGTCAATGAGGTGGGTACTTACTTGTGTAATTCTGTTTTTCAAAGTGATTGTCTAAAAGACTAAGAACACCGAAGTATATGAAAACAACTATTAAATCAAACTGGACTATTGGCACTAAAATGTGCTCTGAAACTAAGCAAGAGGAGCATAAGAAAGACTTGCTCCAAAGCAGAGGAACAGTCAAAGCATGGAAAGAAAATGGCTGTAATATTAGAGAAGGTGACAAATGGAGATTATGGAAAAGTCTGACTCACATTCTGGACAAATTATTAGAAACAATGGTGAAGGATAGATAGATATCAATCTGTCTATAGTGAGTGAGGAGAAAGGGGCAATAGCTTTTGCTTGGTAACTCATGTCTCACCAGTCTAATAAAACTCTGAATGTGTGCACAATTAATACACAGGCATCCTTAGGTTTCTGAAGAGTTTCTGACAAGGTTCTTTACCACAGGTTCTTAAGAAATGAAGTTGTAATTGAGATTAAGAGAAAGCTCCCTCCCTCTACCAGTAGCAGATTGTTGGTGCAGACAACAAATGATGTAGTCAGCTCTCACTGTGGATGGATTTTACTAATTCTGGACGTCATGGATAAGGCAGTGATAGCACTTGTCCCTTTCAACATGTTCATTAAAGGATCTGGAATAGTGAGGTGACAAAGTTGGCTGCTGATGAGCAACTATTCCGAGTAGCTGAAAACAAAAAATGATTGTAAATATTGTAGAAGGATCTCAGGATATTGAGTGGCAAATGATTAGTAAAAAGATGTTAAAATATGGGAAAAAAATTCCTCTTTAAAAAAAATGAAATACAAGAACTGTTATAATTAAAAGTGAGCTCAAAGATTTCACTTGATGAACAAAGAAAAATTCTCTTACCACTCACAGCTTTTCTCCTCTGGAGCCTCGCCTCAGGTGAAGGGGGAGGTGAAGGAAGACAATCTAGATGTGAAGAGGTTGAACTGATTTTCTTTTGAGGGTGTTCTTCTGAAAGATCCACAACCTTCATTATGGGTAGGCCAGCTGCTGGCTGCTTGTATCTTGCATACTGCAGTGCTTCTGTGATCCATCTCATTTCCCTCCAGATCTCATCAATTTGCTTTAGAGAAAAAAAAACAGTGAAAAGCTACAGTTAAGGCTGCCTGTTAATTTTACCTAAGTGTGTACTTTCTTCAAGTGCCCAAGCAGGTGTGTAGTCACTGCCACCAGAGAGAAGCAGGATCTCCTGACAGGACACTTCAGATCTAGGTGGTCTGAACTGCTTTTGGTTTGGTGCTTGTTCTCTTCCACCACTGCAGAGGCTGCTTAGAATCACCAGACTCTCAAATTAGGTACCTCAATTAAGAACCTGTAGTTAGGAGGGGTGAATCCATACCTAAACTCTCACATGGAAAGAAAATGAAAATTGTCTTTTGATGGAGTAAAAAATTTGGTCAATTTTGTAGCATGCTTCAAGTTGTTTTCATTCTGTACTGGCATGAACACAAGACTTCCTGAGCATCCTTGCAAACCCAGGATTCTGTTCAAAAGCAGAGTGCTCAGCTCAAACCTAGTTTTTGAGAATAGAAGAATCTACATACACATAGAAAAATATATGTATAGGGAGGGTTGAAGCAGAGCTACGAGCCAAACTGCAGGTTTTCTTCCTTATCATAGTTTTGGTCTACGTGCCTTTTAATAGCATAAATCTACACTAAGACAGTTCTAATACGTGCTTGTTGATGGCAATAAGAGACAAGTGCCTAAATCAATAGCAGGATATAGCTTTAAGTACTTATGCAGAGAGGAAAGATGCTGTTTAATGCGGCTCTTCAGAATCTTTTGATAATGGAACACTTTTAACATCTTCAAGCAATTCAAGATCTTTGATGACGGAGCAAATATTCCTGCAACCAGCAAATGACAGTAGCTGTGAGTATCATATCGTGCCTTCTAGAACTTCCTACAGAAGATTCTGCATTTAAAAAAGTGACCCTTCATATTAATATTGCAGTGTTTAAGGGAAACTGCTTTGCAGTGACACAAGCTACATTCTGCAAGGATGCAGAATGAGAGCCCTGGGTCTGTAAATGGACAGGCAAAAGGGAGCAGTACTTTGTGCTGTGGGTATTATCAAATAGAGAAGTAACAGAGGGATCAGTGAGGAGGAGACTGCAGACTGATATATTGTAAGACGGCTTCTCCAGAACGAACTCGTAGCTGGAGATGCTTCTTCACAAAATGCACATTCAAAGTGTGAAATTTATTGCCAAAGGATACTGTAGATGCCAGATTAGCTGGGGCAGTTCTTGATGAGCTGTGCTGGAGACAGGATAGCTGGATAGATGGATCTTTGTTTTGACCCAGTATGGCCGTTTTTCTGTAAAGGTGAAATCCCGACTCCAGTGATGTCAGTGCAAGCCTTGCCACTGAGTTAATTTGAGCTAAGAATATACACTGATAAGAATAGCAAATGGTTCAGAGATTAATTCATAATCCTACATCATTTCAAGACTTCAGTGTAGCTCCATGAAGAGAATGCCAGTTAGCAAATGTCTCACCTATTTGATTTTGGAAATTTTATATTTCCTTTCCGTGATCCTCCATCCACCCCAAACAAAAGTCATAGTGCCTGCAGTTTAACAAAATGCAAATTCTGATGGTTTTTTCCCTGATGCCATTCTGCTGTGTCTCCTGGGATAATGGACCAGTCATTTTAATGAACTGTGGTTCTTTTACACTTTAGGAACATAAGAAGCATTACGCTATATAAATTACAGCTTAACTTCAGTTTTAGCTTCAGTGTCTGTAGATTTCTTTTCTGGCTGTGTAGCATTCTAATAAAGACTCCAAGTACCTTATCTGCTGAATTTTTAATTTAATTTAATTTAATTTTTTTTTACTTTTCAGTTGCCCTCTGACTTCTTTTCAGAACTGCATTTATATAGACTCCCTTGCTCTTTACAATGTTTGGTTTGTGTAGTGACTTCAACACTGTCTTAGATCTTGGATCACACAAATGCTCTTGCGGTTTTGTGGTCACCACTGAAGATTGCGGTATGTGGTGGGCTGAGATATTTTTGCCAATAGGTGGAATACAGCTGGTTTTCATTTGAGAGGAAACCTGACAAGGCTAATACACTGTCACGATAATTCAGCACAAAACACTGAAGTTTAAAATGTTCTCCCCTATTTTCCCAGCATATATATGTGACTCAAAGACTTTGGCGAAGAGGAACACAGACCTGTCTATACAGTGCAGTCATATTAATATACATATACTTATTTGTGATGTGAAGGATACAAATGTTCCAAATTCTCCTGCACGCTGGGAAAAAAAGCTAGATTTTCTGAGTGTGAGAATGGGAAGATGAGAATGAGGCAGAAGGAGATGATTGAGCAGTGAAAGCACAATGGAACATTGCTCTCTGCCCCCCTGCAGGTTGCCAAAAGCTCCAAGGAGGACAAGGCAAAGGGGATCTGAATTCAGAGCAGAGAGGAACAGAAATTCTATCATCTCGTTCATAATTACAGAGGGTGTCCTGGTTTGAGGTACAAACATATTATCAATGGGATAAATTTTTTTTGGCCCCTACTCCAACAGAAGGTCATTTGAATATTAAGAATATAGAGCTATAAATTTATCTGCAGCTCACTTGTAGAAAGACAGATCAGCCATGCCCATAGATGCACTCTGCAAAGGTCATGAGTTTTATCTATAAATAACCAATTGCCAAAATGGTTTGCGAAAGGACAGACCTTGCTAGGCTGCACAAAGGGGTGTCATTTGAAGATCCCTGGGTTGAGTAAGTAAAGTCCTGATCTGGGAATGGTACAGGAAAGTCAGTGTGAGAGACAGAGAGTATGGAAATCAGACAAATATGACAACATTTGTGATCCTCCTGCATTGGGGGACTGAAGCAGTATCACTGCGTGGTGCTGGACAGACTTAGAGATGCTTTTGGGGTGAGCTTGCCATCTCAAACAGCTGCTTTCTTCACTGTGATATTGTTGATGAAGATCGTCTTCACAACCTCGTCTGAATTTTCATTTTGATTTTTTAAATTGGCAATTTATCATGGTGAAAAATGTCCTCAGTTCACAAAGGCAGAGAAAAACTCTTACACAACTGAACCCCCAAGCACGGTCCTCGCTTACCTCACGTTAGATGGGAGCGAGTTTTACGAGCAGACTGACACGTTTCTTTATAACAGTCTAGTATAACTGTCATTTGATTTTACCCATAAAAATCCTTGTATAAAAGCAACAACTAAGGAAATCATGTTCTGGGTTTGAATTTCATAAAAACAGAATTGCACTTTTGATACAACTGCCCTTTTTATGATGTCTGTGAATAATTCTCCATTTAGATTTCAAATTACAGCCCTATGCAATTTTTAAGAAAGCCACCTTAAAATCTCCTTGGAATAGTCAGAAACAGACTATTACCTGTATGTAGTCTATAACTTGCTGGTGTCTTTGTTTGGCTGCAGCGACTTCACTGTCTGAAATTGCTTCCCTTAGGGATTGCTGGGTTTTCAGAGAGTCCAGCTCTATGACAGCAGAAAGGCGGCAATACAGGCTTATAAATTTTTCCTTGTAACAGCAAAAATGAACTGTGAAAAGACCAAGTGCAAAGGAAACACTGTTATATTTTGGGTATGAAATATGAAATCCTTAGCTTTCAGAACACAAATTTTATTAAATATAATTACTGACCCTCTGGATGGGTTACTATAAGCTAGAAATAAATAATACAGCCTCTAATTCTCCTTTCATTTACACTGGATTTACTCTGCAACTTCACCGATTTCAAAAGAGTCATTTCTAATTTATATCTAAGTGAAGAGATAATCAGGTCCTTAGTATGCAACTCCAGAGGCTATTTTGCCCTTGATGGCTTTAATCAGAAAGGCTGCTTCTGAGGCTTTTATAGCTCATCATTCCTTTTATCAAGAAAGTAGTGACATGACTGGAAAATGGAACTCATCTTTTATTTTTTTTTAATTGAGTGTTTCAGAAAGAAAGTATCATTTTGGAGGATGATAACTTTCTCATGGGCCAGGCTAGCTGGAACCAGGAACTTAAATGTAAATGACTCAGCAGTAAAAGCATTTAAGTGATATCGCAGTTTGAGTGGAACAATTGAAACTCTTTTAGGTGTTATCACACATCATCCTCTGAACTCTCAGGCAGAAGAGTAACACAGGAATTCGGGAATGACCTCTCGCTTTGTGTGATTTGCCTTCGGAGCAGCACAGAGCTCTCTGAGCTACCTCTAAAAGAGGTAACTGGGTGACAGAGAGAGCAGCTACAGTGCATGGAGCTCCACAGCGGTCATTCCCTGGCCTCTTACAGCTGTGTTCTACCAGAACCTGCAACTGCTGAGGCAGAACTTGCCAGTGGTTTCTGTGAGCTGCTGTGCAACCCGGTGCTTGCTGAGGGAGATCAACTTTTCAGAAATACTTCCCCGTTCGTTGGTGCTTCCATAAGTGGGAGCATGCAGCGGGATGGTGCTATGGCAGCAAATGCCAGTTGGCTCAATACTGCTGCTTTTCTGGGTTGTGACATGGTATTTTTCAGGGTGTTTCAAGTGTAAATTGCATCTATTCTTCTTATCATAAATATTAAAAGAGAAATAAAAACAGTGTCACGCGTCTACTTATCCCTTGCAAACAACATGATAACAATAATTGAGAAGAATTTATCAAACTAAGAAATGCAGTCACAAAACCATCATTAGCATAACAATAAAGGCCTAATCTGAACATAAAAATCCCACAAAAAAAAGAGTGAAAGAAAGAATTCTACCTTCTGGTTCCCCAATGATGCCTAGATATTGCAGGGATCTAGCCTGAATAGTGTGTGGTCTTACAGTATATATGCCATATGTGGTGGACTCTTGAGTGAATTACAGCCGCGGTTTCAGCTTCAGTGCTGAAGTTTCTAGCCTTTGTGGTTTTAAGTCAGACCCTTTAATGTTACTTTAACAAATGTTACTTCAACATAGTCTTTTGTGGTTATGCAATTATATAGTTGGTAGCCACCAGCTAATGGGGAATGGAAGCTTCTAATATTTGAGATGTGAATCACAGTCACTTTATAGAACATCGGGGATACATATATAATAAGTCATATAGAAATGTCATCTGCCTTTGGCCAGATGATTGCTTGCTTACAAAAATACTCAAAAGTAAAATTCAGCTTTCCATACTGTGCTCTCCAGGAACTGCTTTCCCACTGCAGCAACGCTGCTGAACAGAGAGGTCTGCACCCCGACTGCCATTTGGGAGAGAGCTCTGGTGCATGTTTGTCTGCACCATCTCATCCCATGCAGTACCTGTTCTTCCTTTCTCAGCCCGATGCAAACTGTATCACACAAGTAAGAATGACTCCTGCCCCTGGCCTGTGTACTGCATAATGAGAGTTAAATAGTCTGCAAAACCTCTAGTGCGGAGATTAATTTCATCAGAGATGAACACGCTTTGTGCATTAATTTGCACAGTGGATGCAGCAGCCACATCTCATGGAGAAATGATATGCTCAATACACAGAGTTTAGCTGTAGACTTCAGGGCTGCTTGTCAAGAAGGCAGTAAGTCTGGCTTTAGGGCACTACAGCCATGGCCGTGTGAGCCAAAGCACCGAATTAACTCTTCTAGTTCAATTATGTCAGTTTTCTTTTGAAGGGGTGGCTTTTCCTTGGCAGACAACAGCAGCTCGTGCATTGTCTGTCCGTACCACTCAGAATTTTATGGCAGCTCAGCTGTCAGCTGTCCTCCCACAACCAGCGTAAAACCCCAAAGCTGTCCCAGGCACCACTTCGTGTGCTCTGGCTGACGTGGCTTAAACACAATTGTATATTCCTGCCTGACCCAGATGAAGCCTGTGCTGCTGGATGACTGTAGGTCCTGGATCTGCTGTGACTGCAGAATCACAGGCTTGGTGAGACCCTCCATTAACATCTTGTCACAGTTTAGGCTGGGTTAGTCTCTAAACGAGCGATGATGCTCGCTTCTTCTCCTACATCAGTGGCTCTGACAGCACTCAGCAATGCTCTGGGAAACAGGATGGAGTTGGCAACGGTGTCACATCAACACCTGAGAGAGATGTTCCTGAGGACACAGTTGCCACCAGAGACCTATTCTGCAGTAGCTCCTTGTGGACTGACTCCATCGGTTTTGGCTCACATCTTTCTCTCTTTTCCAAGACAGAGGAGAGAAAGATATCCAGTTTCACAGGCCAGAAGGAAACAGAGGAGATTAATGTGTAAGGCTCAGAAGTCCCCATACTTAAAATATTATTTCTAAAAAGAACTATTAAGTCTTTTTAGAGCTGCTTTTATGTGGAACCAAAGAAGAAGAAATGAGAAATAGAGGACCTTGAAGCTAAAGCATATTATGCCTTCTGTGAGACAGCTGGAAAACTCTGTTTCGGGGAATTCTTACCCAGTCAACAGTGCAGTGGAACAAGAGGGCTGAATCTGCTCCAGCACAGGATGTGCTCCCTAAAGAAATAGACTCAAGCCTGGTGCTTCTGCATTTTTCCCAATAACAGGCTTTTCCTGCACCACAGCAATAGGACCGAGTCTCCTGCATTTTTCCAGGAATCAGAAGGAAAAAGATGACCCTCACGTGGGAAACTCCACTCAGACCTTTCACAAAGTTGTGAGGGAGTCAGACTTTGAGTAAGACTCTCTGCAACCAGGGACTGCAAAAATTATCCTCTACAAAACCGGTGATTATTCTTATGACAATTTAGAGGGATGTTTTTTTACATCTCCTTTCACACTCCAACCTTGCTATGTCGTGTGTAATTTTTTAGTTCTGTTTTTTAAAGAACATCATCTTCCAAATAAGCTTATAGACACATAGTGGATAACTGTGGGCTTTGCTCTACGCTCTGCATTTCAATAATGATTGCTACAGTATATGCTTTAACCGCTCTGCTCCCTCTATAACTTGTACACAGTTATAGGTAGTGTTGTTGCCAAAGCCATCATGTGATTTATTGACTCTCCACTGGGACAAGGGGGAAAACAGATACAACTTTGTGATTTTATTATAAGGAGACTGGGTTAATATTTCTAGGTGAAGCAAGCTACTATACCGAGTTCAAACATCTGAAGAGGGAGGTTAAGAAATCCTGAGTGTGGGGTGTAAGGATTATTCTGTCCTGGGGCAGTGCAGACGTCGTCTGAGGCGGGGAGCAGGAGAAGAAAGGAGACATTGTGACCCAGTTCCAACACCTCCTGTGTATACAGACGGAAGTGCTTAGCCTGTAGAGGGACACGCGCGGGGGAAGAAATAGGAGAGAATTACAACATGGCACTTATATAAACAACACCCCAAATGATATAAAACATTAAAGAAAATTTGCACAACATCAAGCTCGGAATTTTTATAAAACATAAATATTTGGGGGGGGGGGGCTAAATGTGGGTCAATGTCACAAAACAAAAAAAAGATTTAAAGCTGCAATGTTCCACATTAAAACAACACGCACAGGCACAACCCCCCTGAAAACAACATTTATGTTTCTTATTAGGCAGAAAATGATCACATGCCATGTGCTTTTCAAGATTATGATTGCATAATTATGTGAAAACATGAAAATGGATTCAATTAAAAACCTTTAAGATTCAATTTAGGGTTGGTTAAGAGAAATATGCAGCTCTCCCTCAACACAGCACTGAGAAGGTTTAACAAGTGCTGCAGCAGGAGAAAATGGCACACACAGGAGTTGGCCTGAGGCTGCTGTAGAGCTGCTGTGTGCAGTGCTGCGTTTCTACCCTGGGTATGCACCAGGGTCACTGTCCATGATTCTGTTTACCACAACAAATAATAAAAATACATAAAGAAATCCGTTGAATTAAAAGTCTGAGGCGGGGAGCAGGAGAAGAAAGGAGACATTGTGACCCAGTTCCAACACCTCCTGTGTATACAGACGGAAGTGCTTAGCCTGTAGAGGGACACGCGCGGGGGAAGAAATAGGAGAGAATTACAACATGGCACTTATATAAACAACACCCCAAATGATATAAAACATTAAAGAAAATTTGCACAACATCAAGCTCGGAATTTTTATAAAACATAAATATTTGGGGGGGGGGGGCTAAATGTGGGTTCATGTCACTACATAAAATAAAGATTTAAAGCTGCAATGTTCCACATTAAAACAACACGCACAGGCACAACCCCCCTGAAAACAACATTTATGTTTCTTATTAGGCAGAAAATGATCACATGCCATGTGCTTTTCAAGATTATGATTGCATAATTATGTGAAAACATGAAAATGGATTCAATTAAAAACCTTTAAGATTCAATTTAGGGTTGGTTAAGAGAAATATGCAGCTCTCCCTCAACACAGCACTGAGAAGGTTTAACAAGTGCTGCAGCAGGAGAAAATGGCACACACAGGAGTTGGCCTGAGGCTGCTGTAGAGCTGCTGTGTGCAGTGCTGCGTTTCTACCCTGGGTATGCACCAGGGTCACTGTCCATGATTCTGTTTACCACAACAAATAATAAAAATACATAAAGAAATCCGTTGAATTAAAAATTCAATTCACGCACGTCGAAGTTTGGTCCTGAGTCATCAAAACATTTACAGCTGCAAGGTCATGTTTATGTCTATCTCTCATGCACAATAGTTGAGTTTAAATGCTGGGCTAAACTGCAGCCTGAGGAACATGTTGCACAGTGATTTAAATATTGTAGTCCCTAGCTCAAAAAAAGGATGCACAAAAGCTATAACCTACAGAAAATGCACTCACATAGAGACCTGTACAGAGCCCTATTGAATTAGAGTGACTGACCACAAGGCAGCACACCATCTGTCTTCAGTTTGGATTTACTTGAGTCTTACTTGGCTCTTCCCAGGCTAGAAGGTGCAGCACTGATGGATTCTTTTTTAAAAGTAAAGCCTAAACCTTTCAAAATCAAGAAATGTAGAACCAGATTAATTTATTTTAAGGCCACATCTTTCTAGCTGCACAAACAGACCTTGAAGTGAGTATAAAGATGATTTACTTCTACTTTAAGCTCTCCTTACCCTTATAGACCAAAATAAAATGGAATTCATGTAAACAAGAAACAAACTCCTCAGCTTATTTTTTCATGGATTTTTCACATCATAGATTATCCTCCCTGACTTCTTTATTTATTCACATATGCATTTCTTGTACCTGAATGTAAAGCCAGAAGCCAGATACCTCTCCTCACCCACAGCAATCTGGAGGTCTGGAACTACGTGTTTTAGAAGTGCTATGTTTATCTCTGTGTAAAAGAATAGCAAAATGCTGCATCTTCAGCAGGCCTTTCATACACCCTCCCTGTTACCTCCAAAAGAACAGTCAATTGCTGTGCTTGCCTGGAAAAATACCTATTTTTCTTTACCAGCTGGGTAAAGGTGCTCGTAACTACTAGTTCCGTGCAAAAGTGCTTATTTTTGCCTGCCTGAAGTGGCACAGATACGGTAACAGAAGCCAAAGTAGGACCTAATTGAAAATTTGTCTGTTAATCCTTCTATGTTCAAATATCCAGGAAAATAACTTTCATTGAAGATATTCCCACACACGCACACTTAGAATAATGGAATATAAAACTTCTCTGCTCTGCTTTTCTTGCAACCATAAGATTTAATCCCTACTTGCAAGTTACACAGTTTGTAGCTTTTAGTTGTGCTCTTAAGAATCAGTTTTTAAGAAGGTGATAAATACCACAAAGGAAAATACCTGATGCAGAGGTAGATTGATCTGTTTTAGGAGAGCTTTCACTGCCATCTGGAGCTCATACAAGAACAATTGAGTAGGGCAGTCTGAAGTATGATCCATACTTTCCACAGATTCTGAGCCAGAAAGTGTTTGGATCCATTCCCACTCATCTCTGTATGTTGAGTCAAGTTAAAATTAGAAATATAACAAAAGTTCAGTGCACAAGCAGGAATTCAGTGTATGTGCATTTGGGATCTGTTGATAGTTTAATCTTCATATAGCAAAACATTCTAAACTTGTGCAATCTTGATTGTTTGTGGTTAAAAATCTAACTTTGAAAAGTTTAATTTTTCTAGCACATGTACATCAGGCTGAACATTCCTTGCAAACCTCTAAAAGTCCAACTGCCTTTGAAATATTTCACTAAGAATTCTCACTCTAGGTTTTCTTTTTCACATACTTCATTCCTAATTTACCACAATATTTTAAAAAGCATGCATTGGAAATGACAACAGCAACAATTAGCAGAAGGTTAATTCCTGTGACAGACTCTCTTGTGCTCACTGGAGCCAGAGAACTTCCTGATTTACTCGCTATATATCCATTCTAGACCTGATAAACATGGGAATCCTCTTTCTGGATCAAATCCTTAATTCACCCTGCCCAGTATTCAGTCTTGAAAAGCAGCCAGCACCAAACATTCAAGAAAAAAAGGACAGGAAACCCCACTACAAGACAAGTAATAGATGTGGTGCAATTTTCCCCTAAATAAAGACCTGATCTTAAACTTCAAGAGTCAGAGGTTGTTATAAACTCTGAAGCACTAGGCTTTATATTCCTTCCAAAATTTTTGTTAGTATTAACTACAACTTTCTGGATATCCTTGTTATCCATATAGATCCAGTTCCTTCTTCCTCATGCAAAATAGTCAGCTGGTTGCTGAAATGATATGGGATTAAAAAGCTCCAGAAAAAAAGCCAGTAAAATGTGTTGCCCACTAGACAAGGACCAGGCAGCACAAATAAGGGCACTTGCCCAATAGATAAGGGAAGCAATGGACAAAGGGGAAAATGGCTTTGCCAGAGCAGTTCAGAGGCTGACAGCATTGGTCTGAAGAGGTGTTTTCAATTGCTGTATGTTTGCTGTGGATTAGAGCGAGACACCAGATATTACACAAGAGAATACAGAGAAAAATCACCAGCATCAACACTCCATGGTCAGTGAAAATCAATAGAAAGGTTGACATTGAATTCACTGGAGGCTGAATCAGGGCTGCAGGCTGTGATCTTCCTGACAGATACATGGGAGGTCATCACCACTGTGCAGTATTTGAGCGATCACGGAACACAACCCATAGAAACCAATGGGCTGACGTGTAGGTGTTCTGGATGGGCCTCCAGATTGCTGGGAACATGCAGGGGAACCTCTTTAGTTCAGCTGGTCTCTGTGCTGGTACACACCTGAGCCAAACTTTGCTGGCAGCTACAATTTTGCAAAGGCAAAATTGCCTTAGCATTTAAATTTGATCAGTTGCTTCAAAACAAATGTTCTCTCTCTACATATGTGTAAATATGTATATATTCACTTACTTGGAGACATTGCTGTTGTCTCGGATTTTAACGTGACACAGGACATTAGGCAGCTTCTGCAACACAAGCACTTTGATTTGATCCACAGAACTGCAGAGTTTAAGGTAGCCCAGATACAAGCCGGGAGGGAGGCGTTGCTGACTTCGTTTGTGATAGGAAAGTATGTCCTGTTTTAAGACATAAAAATATCTTTTTTTTTTTTTTTCCACATAAGCGGAAGAGTTTGGGATCAAAAAGCAACAAATGTTTTTACAGCCGTTTTTTTGTTTCAACAGTGTTCCCAATTCACAAAGCATTTAAGCACATGCTTAAGCATATAAATAATCTCTGGTAGTTTGGATGCACTTGGACAACTTTTTACTTAAAGCCATTCACAGGTTCTCTAAGCTCTCCATGTCATGCAGGAATTGGCTCTAAAAAAGGGAGATTTCGACCTTCTACAACTGTAGTATTTAAAGTAGCTTAAATAACACCCACCTCTGCACTCCTGTCCCATCAGGTCAGTGGTGAGCTGGGTCAGGGAACTGATTCAGCTGAAAAGCAGCTCAGGAAAAGGAGCAGTCATTTTTCAGCCAGAGCAGTTCCCTGGGTCACGTTTGGTCTGTAGCTGCACAGATGGAGCAGAGCAGCATTGGGAGGAAGCTGTCACCTGGGCTGCACAAGCCAGTTCTGTCACCAGAGAAATGCACGTGGAGTCACAGCCTACGTCTCTCGAAAACCTGTTCTGTGTCACCTCCTGTCAGCAGGAATCTCTCTGTGGCATTGGAGGTTGGTGGTTTGTGAAGTTTAATTAATGGCTGTGTTTTCTGAACAAATCTCTTTATCAACAAATAAGAGCTTTGAAGGAATTAATAATGATGGTGCATTTGCTGAAGCCAGGAGACATTTTTAAGGCTGTGTATAGCAGTCCCCCCAAACTACCCTAAAAATGATGTCTGCTGCCATCCGGAGAAACGTGTGCTTCTGCAATGGGTGAGGATTAAGAGGCCTGGCCTTATGCCTTTACTCTTGGAACCATCAAATTATCTGCCAGTGCTATGCTTGGCTCTGACCAATGCAATTAGACCCTCATTTTCACAAGCACTTCATGAACAAAATACCCATTCCATGATTAAACAAGTAATACAAGAAAGGGTGGGCATTAGATAGGAATGTGTAAACCATTAGGGGAACATTTTTTCCACTAGGATCTCTGTGGAAATCTGATCAGGCCTGTATTTTGGGTTTCCTAATATAAAACTTTTGCACAGATTGACATTTTTCTACACCTTTAACACATTTTAATACATTAAATCTAACATAGATCAGGTAAGTTTTATTGTCTTTTGGAAATTTTTTACCGTTTCTTAGACCTGGTAATGTATATTTTGATTGCCTGTCAGTTTCCGGTACAAAAAGCACAGTCTCTGCCCAAGAAAGTGCCTCTAATTCAAGATTGAACCACAGGAGTCATCGTTTCGTTGAGGCTACTAAAGTCGGGACTAAGACAGTGATTTGTCTTGTTGTCTCTTGGGTAACTTTGCAACTGGGTTTTAGAGAGATTGGCTACTGACATTTTGTGAGAAATAGGTTACTGTTACCTACAGAAAACATGTACTAATGTTTATGTGAACTATCTATGTTTAACTTGAGTTTACAGATACCCTGATTCTTGAAGGGCTGAAAACCCATGGCTCTTGATGTTGACTGATCTGACCATGCAAAGCAACTTTGAAGGTCAATCCTTACCTTGGTGTTTTTCTAATTGTGAAGTCTAGGCACATGTTATGCAGAAATTAAAGGAGGGTTATGGTCAGTAAAGAATTCTGTAGCAACTATACCAGGCTCTAAGGAGCTCTGAACCCCACAGAACAAGTTTATTAAGTAGAACAGTAAAGTTTTAAACCTAGATTTAGTGTTCAAGGCTGGATGGAAAAATCTTATGGAGTGTAGAAATTGTAAGTGTCTGTATAGGTGCTTAAGAACATCCCAGAGAATTTTAAAGGTTTTTATATCCCTTGCTACAGAATTCTATAGCATGGTTTCCCGAAACTGATAGAAACGGTACTATTCTCTGCTAGGACTTTGAAGTAATTTCTTTAGAATCTCTTGGATATTTTACATATTAAGGATCTGATCCCAGACCCACTGGAAATAATACAAGTCTTCGCTTTCAATGGGAGCCTTGCCATTAATTTTATTGGGCACTGGATTAAGGCCTAAAATTCTACAAAACCCTTCCAAAAATCAGGGCTCTGGCACAGGTCTTTACAAAAGCAAATAACATACAGTAAGAGAAGCAAAGCACTACCTGGATTGTTATAAGCAAGATGTCTAATGCTGTTGGCTCCTCTGGAGTTGAAAGGGATTTCCTCTGGCTTTGTAGTTTGGATACCTGCATCCATTTGCCATTAAAAAATGAATAAAGACTCTCCACTTCTCTTATAGTAACTATCAGCATATTGCCATGTCGATCCTTGATTGGCTCATAAAAAACTCTGCCTAAGTTGTGAGTTCCCAGCAAATTCTAGAAAACAAGCAAATTATAAAATGAAAGTTATTTATCTCATATCAGGAGTGGTATTTTTCAAAACTTAACTTTGTGCTCACTGACCTCAGTCCTATTGACTTCAATAAAAACTAGACACACAGTGTTCCTCAAACCCTTGCCCTACAGTCGTATCATCCAGTGGCAAAAGAAAAAGTTTTTCCCTATGTTGTGTTTGTGGATTGAATTTGGTCCAGCAGCGTTGAGTCCAACATTTAATGAAGAACATTAGAAAGGCTGTTGGGACCCAATGTCTTCGTAAAAGTAAACGCTGCCAAGTAATTCACTTATTTGGACAGAACTTCCTATTGGAAGTCATGTAAAGATAAAGGATGCAATTTTCAAATGCACTCAGTGTTGGTCTAGTGGTGATTTCTTTGGCATCAATGAAGCCCTTCTGATTTGAATTTGCTGAAGATCTAGGTCCTTATCTTAAACTCCCCATAACCAAATGTCAGAGATACAAAATTCTTCATCTATCCCCAAATCGCTCATATTGGACACTTCAAATGTTTTCTGTTAGGGTCATTAACTATAATCTCCATTTTCTGTTCTCTGTTTTAAAATTATTCAGATTATTTTCAGCAACAAAAGGAAGAGGCCCTCATATCTGTGTTGAATGTAAATAATTCTGGAGCTAAACTGTGGGGTGTGTTTGTGAAGGAACACAGAGGAATTTGAAGAGACGCGGACCCTTTTACTTCAGATACCAAGAATGTACTAGACAAAACTGGCAGAAACTAACAAACTACCAGGGCAAAGCTCTCCAGGAAAATATGTGAGGATTAAAGAAAAGTAATTTTAAAAGACTCCACATAAAATACATATTTTGGTCAAAATCCCTTTCCTCACACAGTTAGGCGTCTGCTTATAGGTGCAAACACACTCAATCCAGTGACCAGCCACTGAAGAGATTCCCAGATGTCTTAAAGAAAAATGCCTGACATTTAAAATATGCTCATTACTTTGCGACTTTTCAAGAGATCTACAGTAAGCTGGAGAGAGATGGGGGTAGTTTGAAAAGAAAACTTGAATTCACAATGTAGCACATTGTATGTTTAGGGAAGTGCTGCACATTAAATTAATGACATTGTAAATGGATAGATTATCCTGAATTTATTTATCTGTACTTAGAAGGCAATATTTACTTATTTATTTACTGTATTATTAACTTGTTTATAAACTCTAGGTAGTGAGCACAGTGACTGCCCTTTATGTGGCAGAGCTTAGCTATTTTAGCTTTACGCATCCCTCTCCAGTGCTGATGGCTATATGCACCTTCCCTCTTCTTGTTCCAACCGTCCTGCCTTTTGAGGTTGGCCTCCATAACTGATCAACACTAGGTGTCTTGAGGACACATTTTATATTAATCCCTGTGCTCACAGGTGGGACAAATCATTGCAGGTAGATGTTAGCCATCTATTTTTCATATTAATCACTGCAACATATGAACGTGCCTAGATGAAAACAAACAGTTCTTCGCTGTCACTGACTGTATATTCTGAGTGGCAGCCCCGCACGGAGAGTGGGTACCTACTAATACGAATATGTGACTAATCCATATACTAAAAGAGTTTTGTGTCTGCTTAGCTTGGCACCCCGTCACTTGTGTTTTGTTTGCTTTAGTTGTCTGGTGGTAACAACAGGCAAAATTACAGTCCCTGTTGTCTCTGAATCCACTGATCTAGTGCCTCAGCAGCTGTGTTGTCACTGATCTTTTCCATTCTGTCCTAAATTCCTGTGGAGTCAGTCTATTAACTGCCTCAATAAAATGTATTCAACCGTATAAAGTTTATTGAGATCCTTCCATTGGTGGATCCCATTAGGCCACACACCGTCAGAGGCTGGCAAATCTGTGACAATGCCGGTGTTCATCAGGGGACCAAGCTAACAGAACAAACGTTAAGGCCAATAAATTTGCCAGAAATTCAACAAAGCAATATACCACATGGACACATTTGCTCTATCTCTGTGCTTCAAGCTCTGCTCTTAACATCTCTGGTAGCAAATAATAACACAAAGTAGTAGGAACCTTTCTTATCTTGAAGCACGGTCCATGCATGCTGGCCATGCTCTGTTAAAGGCATCTGCACAGAGGAATGAAGCTGAGCTAACCAAAGGAATACGTGCTACCTAAGCTGAGCTAACCACACCGGAGGGAACATTCAACAGGTATCATTAAAACTTTCTCTAGTGACAGCTCAAAGAACTGACAAGCAGCTGCTGCTTAGCACAGGTGGTCCTCCAATAAAGGTACAGCAGGCTGGCATTCCATATATTTCGGGATACTTTGGGGAAATCAGTCAAGACAGGTGGTTGCCCAGGAAGGCTACTCTTCTGTGCAGCAAGCTTTGCCAAAAGATGTAAAACAAACCCCACATGGATATTCTTAATAATGGCCACAAAGTGTCTGGCTCTCATAGCTGCTGTAAAACCCAGCTTATTGCATTGACTGGCAATAACAGGAGGGATGGCTGTATGGCTAATACATGAGCCAGGCAATATGAAGATCTTCATTAATTCCACAACTTTACCATACATTTTTCTGGGAAGCTTTGGTGACTTCATTCAAACAAAAGGTAGGAGAAAGTGAGGCCTGGGTGTACTTTTTCTGTAAGAATCATGCATCTTTTTGATGTTATGGAAATGTCCGCCTTCCAGCTAGAGATTTCATGGTAACATGAAACCCATTCTTCAAAAGCTTTACAATAAAGCTTAAAATGTTCTGCTGGAGAAAGTGTAATTACTATCTGCATAACAAAGAGTGGAAGTGACCTGTTCAGTAGCACTCAGGTTGTATCTGTAGCACAGGCTGGAATGAAACCATCCTGAGAGTCCCTGCGATGCCTTAAAACACGACATGAATAGTGCCTGTGGTGCTGCTGTCCTTAACCGCCGTGCTGAGGGGGCAGCACAAGATCTGTCACCACTTAATCTCTCTCAGTCTCTATTTTTTAGGGGTCTAAATAGGTCTCTGGCTGGCTCTCTGCACAAAGGTGCATTTCACCTTAAAAATTTTGGCAGCTTAATTAAGAACTTAATGAAAGATTCGTTTTTATTTCCCCGCTGACAATCCACAACATCCTAGCCATCCTGTTTGTCAAACAGGGTAGTTCTGCCCTAGAAGCTGTACTTGAGCAGTTTGTAAACCATGGGTGAATCAAGACTACTATTTTGGCAATTTCAGCAGTCTACTTGTCCTTCCCGTTGGGACAGAAGCTACCTACTACTGCAGGTTCCCATATCACACAAGGGAGTGCTACATCTTGCCCGGAGTTTAAATGCTTCATTAATATATTAGTAATTAATAATGAATAGGCCTTCTAAGAGGCTTTTGAGCAGCAAATATTAAGACTATAACTCTTGAATTCCCAACCCACACACTTAGCTGTGGTCATTTTTTACTGGTTCACATCTGTTTGTTTCTTTGTCTGCCACTATTATTTCTTTCCTTTCTTTTTCCCACTCTTTACTTTTAATATAGCCCCTTCCTTCCAGCTGGCAAGTGAGGCTCAGTGGCACATTTCATTGCAGATGATAATGCTGTTGCAAAGAACAGGACAGTGGGGAGCAGTGAACCATAGGAGAGCTGATGGTGCTATCCCTTGGAGATCACAAAGTCACTAAGTTAATAGCAAGAACCATGCAACGCAACCGACCTGGAGCTGTGCTGCCGCTGAAAGCATCTTTTGCCTGGCTTGAAGTGCCGTGGATGAGGACACGGATATCGACATATTCTGCCTCAGCCATCTGATATCATCCCACATGCAAGACAACTGCAAAAATATATCCAGCTCAATCAGGTTTTGTTCTCAGCATTTACAAAAGCAGAAATGAAACTAAAAGCATTTCGGACTTAGAAAAAATCAGTAGATATTGCTCATTTTGAGTTTCTGCGGATGGCAATGAGTTGGCTAGATAAACATGAAACACATACTGAATCAGACACATTGTTCTGTAAACATCATGCAGCTATTTCAGTTGCTTTTTGGACTATTGTGTAAAATTTATTTACTGTTCTTTGGGGAATAAGAAATAGTATCAAGATATCTTGAATGATGGCATAACCATAATACCGACTTTAAAACTTCTAGTTATTTCTTTAGGCTCTTCCCTAAATTTTCATAAAAGCTTTATGTACCCAAGTAGCAATCACTTATGTAGGGTCATGCATTTAAAAGAGTTAATGGTGCCACCGTCAGTGACCCGGTCAGAATTTAACCCATATAAATGGTTTGTGAAAATTGCATTTTAACCTGAGTGAAAGGTAAAGCACTTCATCATTTAGCTTTTTAATTACATCATTTCATATATTCAGACTGATTAGCTAAGCCCTATGCATTGCTAAAACAAATTTGTAGAAGCAAGATATGAAATTAGGCTCCCATTACCTTTGCGAACCACAGGAAATCCTGCATCACTGAACTACTGTGAGAGTCATCGATTTCCACGATTGGGATTTGATCTTCATTGGTTACTAATAAATTGTCTTTGTAAAAAAATATAACAGATAAGTAGAGTCCCCTAAAGAAAGAAGGAAACATAATGTTTTATGTCTATTCACATCCATCCCAAATTTGAGTCAAAGAATCACAGATGTTCAGTTCTGAAAAGACAAATTGAATCATCTGGTCTTAACTTCTGTGTTATATCGATCATGCAACTTCAGCCAGTGAATTCTGAAAAGTGTTTGGGAAGTTTATCACTTTAGATGATGTGAGACTACAGGAATCTAAGAAATTATGAATCTGTGCAAGCCACTGACATCAGTTTTAGTAAGAATTTTGCCAGAGTAAACAGTACACAATGGAGGCTTTGTGCCCTTTAGAAATCAGAAATTTTACTAAAACTTTTTATCATTAATGGGCTTAGTTCTGCCCTCATTTAGTTCCGAGTAAATCTGAACTAACTCAATTGAAATCAGGTGGGTTATTATGGATTTACATTAGTGTAATTGAGTGTAATTTGGCCAGCATATCTGCAAAACTGTTTATAGAGATCATTCCTTTCAATATTTACCCTTGCAATTAGTTACATACGTTAAGTAGTTGCCTTAGGGAATTTAAAGACTCTGGAGAGCTCTTCTGAAAGAATCAAACTTTTATCAAAATACAAAGAAGAAAAAGCAAACTGAACACTCCTGGCAATGAAAGAAGAAATAATCTGGCATAAGCAACTTCCATTTGCTAAAACAAATTATCAAGGCTGAGGGTTGTTTGGGTCACGCTGGGTTGCAAATCCAGCTAAAGATGTGAGGGAATTCTAGATGAGTTGTGTGTTGCCAGTGGACTATTAAAACACGTTATCTGAGCTCTGCATTTTATATTATGAATTAAATAAATACCATAGCTTCATTACTGAGCAAAACAGAAACAATACTTCCAAAATACCTCAGTAACTGCACTTTGTATTTGCACAGAATGTTTCACTGTTAAAATTCAAATCCATTTCCAACAGTAACAATTAAAATACTCTATTGAATTGAATAGAGGCATTATTTTCCCATCAGCTGCACCAGTATTACATGTATGCAATTTTATGGGGTTCATTCTGATTGATTGCTCATTCATTAGTAGTGGAATCAGGTGCTTTTCACTACGACATAAACTCAGAATGTTTGGGAGATAAAATGAATGACAAACCGTTTCAGAGTCTTCACAAACTTGTTTGACGAATGGAAAAGGTGCTTCAGGCTTCTGGAAACTGATTGCTTGCGACCAGCATTCTGTAATTTAGAACTTTCTAAAATGGAAAATAAAAAGCAAAGCAAACCCAGCACTTAAATCTCAGTTAGTGTCTCATAAAGAACCTTTGTCTCTAAAACAACAATACTGAATTTCAGTCAGCGCTCACTATATTCCTTTCAAAAGACAGCATTTAGAAACATGCTTTTTGCTTATATTTCCATCATCTTTGTGATATGCGACAGTAATTTCCTTACTTGGAGCAAACTCAGATATGGTAAAAGTGTTTTGCTGTAAGCAAAGTATAGCTTGAAGCAGTACTTTGTACTCTTAATGTTCAGAATGCATATGAATTTTGCAAGTGGTCTCAAAAACCCAGGAAGAGATTTGAACCATTAGTCAACATTTTAGGGTCTTGTATTTCCTCATATATAGCCTAGGCTTCTAATGAACTGAGTATTCGGTGCTCTGGCAGTCACTAACATCACAGCATCACCAGTCTAACCTAACTAAAAGCTTTAAGGAAACAACTAGGTGGACCCTCATCTTTCTCTGTATCACATTAAATGCATGTGCTGTTGTTTGGAATTTTTTTCCCCATCACAACGATTTCCACTCACCTGTATTGCTTCTGAGCTTTCAGTTACATTTGCCCCCTAGTAATCTGGAATCCAGAGAAGGGGTGTTTAACTCATTTGTTCACTTCGTGTCAAAGCTGAGACCTGCTGTGTGCCTGCAAGGATCTCTGGACTAGCTCTTTCAATAGAAGAATTTTATAAATTCCAGTATTTGCCCAATATTCTAAAAAAAAAAGTGACTGAATGTTCATACATTGTATTATTTTTCACTTGTGTGAATTCAACTTAATGCCTTTCCTTCTGTCATACATGTCTTGAGTTTTCTTGTAAGCCAAAGAAAAACCTTCCAGTGGGAGCTGTGAAGCAGCTGTGCCCAGCTGTGTACCTGTGAGCAGACCCGAGGGGGAAAGCCAATAGATGGCAGTCAGGGACATGCAGGATTGTATAATGTATTGTCAGTTGTTGTCCACATATGGCATTTAAAAGAACACATGCTTAAAACTGTTTAGGGTTTGGGGTTTTTTTTGCATTGCCTTTTGCAGTGTTCCTCCTGTTTAATGCTGTTGTGCAAGAAATGGCAGAAACATTTAATTTAAAAAAGTAATTAATTCTTCAGATATTTACTGTGATCTGAAAAGAAAGACAATAAAAAAGTAACTGTGAAACTACATCCCAGTTTTCCAGGATCTGCCTGTTTATTTGGATGAAGAGTGGATACCCATCCAGACAGGAGCGTGAAACGTTTTGAGGGATACCCTTCTCCAGGGGGGAAAAAATATGACTCGTGAAGAACTTTTGGCTGAAAGCTGCTCATCAGTCTGCTTCGGTGTTTTCAGAGTACTGTATTTCCCACTTACCTCCAGTGCAGAATAGGAGGTGTCTGTCTGTGTCTCCCTACTGGGTTCTAAGTTTGAACATTTAAAGAACATCTAAATTTGCGCTTGTCAAAACCCCATCTGTGGAAGTGCTCAACATATTTTTAAATGATGAATAAATTTGCACCATAATTTGCACATTGAAAACCACAGAAAGAAGACACATTGTTAGCAATAATTACCATTCTGCTGAACAGCAAGTACAAAGAGAACAAGGTTCTATTGGGGGTGAAATCACACAATTCAGATGTATGAGACGTATTAGATCATCAAATCCATTGTCTTTCCAGTGCAAACTTGTTCTCTGTGGCATATTCTCCAATGCGCTGTTCAGCTTAGTTTTAGCAGACTCATCCAAATCCATGACTGCTCCTTTGATGGAAGTGATCTTTGTTTTCTTTTCCTTTTTAAAAAAAAAACTTTTTTTTCTATCCATATGTCCTCAGATAATTTTTATTTTACTGTGAACTTTTTTTCAGTATATCACAGTAATGTAAACCAAATGCTACATGAAAACTCCTGTCTCACTGTTTCCTTCTTCCAAGGTTAAGACCAATTTAGGAATATAAATTTCATTCTAATTATGCAATTTTTCATTTTCTTTTATATTCAGGATGGAGGGAATGGAGGAGGAAATTGCTGAAGGCAAAGCAACATAATTCTGTATAAAACACCCAGAGACTGCAGCATTAAAATAAGAGGGCACATTACAAGTGAAATATATGTTATTGGGCTATTCAGTGGTTTGGGTTTAGTCCACAGCTTTGCAGAAGCCAACAGCAAAAGAAATGATGTAAAACTAGATGGAGACTGTAAACTCTCCTCCATTGCTATTTGCTTTTGTTTTACAGTACAGTGTGTCCAGAAGCCAAAAACCATGGAGCTGAGATTAGAAGATAATTTGGATCTACAGGAAATGGAACTTTGTCTGTTATTTAATTAACTAATAAATAATATAGAGTAACCTCTATAGAAAAGCACCAGTAACAACAAAATAGGTTTATATTAGTAAATGATACAGCAACAGAGCTGTGAGCTCTTTTAATAGATGCTCAGGAGTAAACAAATAGTGGCCAAGAATAGAGAATTTCCATTGATTATATTTACATCAGAAGTATACAGACCTGGCTCTAAGTAGGCCGTTAACTACAAAGGATTATTTACAACATTAGCAGTTTTTATCTTCTCAGGTAGGGTATATAAATGTTTCTTTGCAGTTCACTTAAATAGAGCACATACTTACAAGCAACATAAGTGGGTTGTGGAAGAACAAAGTTGCATACTCAGGCTGCCAGTGTGTGTCTGGGGTCTCTGCTCTAGAGGAATGTCTGTTATGCCGTGCCATTTCTCTGAGGAGGAAGATCATCTGGAATTCTTTGTCCTATCACTAGACAAGCGGGTGCCTCTACTCAAGTGGGGCAGATGTGAAGTAAATGGAATTACCTCAGTGCAAAATTATCTGAGATCTTAGCCCCACAAATCAGCCAGCCTGTGGAACAGCTCAATATCCTTTAGGGTGACCCTAAATAAGGAAGCAAATTAGCAGAAGATGAGCTAGATCACACTGAAATCCTAGTGAAGGGCACAAAATGGGGTTTAGAGATTTCACTAACTGTGTAACCTTTTGAAAATATATCAGAAAGCTGGAAACTTTCAGAAAAATTCAAACTCAATTCAAAGCTGCAGATGTTTAGCAGTGCAGACAACTTACACTGGGATAAAGAGCATGGAGACATAATTCCATGCAGCATTTGAAGGCATAAGTAGTGGCCAGACACCTCAATAGCTTGAGACTGTGATAGATTCTGTGTTACCTCAGCTCAAGGTGGGATGTCTTTCACAAGGAAATTCTGTATCTCATGAAGAAGCTATTGGCATGACAGTCGTATTACTGGGTGCTACATTTTGGAATATGAAGTCAGGCTCAACAGCTGAAACTGTAACTTCTTAAATTCCCTGAACTTCTCAGGCTACGGCTTGGTTCCCAAGCCTGCTTTTGTATATTCTCACAAATAATTGTAATCAAAACATTTTAAACGCCCTATGGAATCAGAGATCCTTCTCTTTGTTAAATGCAATAAAACTATGCTCTCTGCTCGTGAATCAAATTACAATTAGACCATTTTTATTTCACTTCTGACTTGTCTAGTAAAGCACATTTCAACCAAATTTCAGAAAGAAAATATCTGGTAAGCGTTTTACTGAAGAGTTGGGTTCCTTTCTTAATGAAGCATCCCACAATTACTTAATCCACTCAGAATTGTTTAGAAAGAATGATCTACAAGAAAAAAATACTTAAAAAATACATTTGAAGTGTTGCCAGGACATACAATTGTAGTAACTCAGTTATGATAGTCTGTAGCATGGTATTATGAAGACAAATGGATGACTGTTGTTTGTAATCATCAGGGTTTTCCAGAAGATTAAACATATGAAAGCAAAGCTTCCTAAGTAATTCCCCGGGAGATTTCATCATATCACAGAGCAGGTTCAAAAGCAACAGCTGATCTAATTCCAAAAGCTCTTAAACTCACTGTACATTCCAATGTATTCTTCCTGGTATTTTTGTAAGCTTGTTTTCTTCAGCCCCTGCAATGCAAAGCACAGGGCGAAAGGCAGGCTGCAGCTCAAAGCCTGAATGAACAGACTTGGGCAAGAGATCTGCATGGAATCTGGGCAATTTAACCCTCCCAGGTCAGGCTGGAGCAATAGCACACAGCCTTGCTCTTCTTGCTCCTCGGTATTCTGAGGCTTTTGCCTATGTTATCCGAGTAATTTCAGGCCTTTTAGATCGATTACCCTCAGTTTTTTCCACCTTCCTTGCACTCCTCCTCCACTCTCCTTCAGCCAGCCTGAGCAGCAGGAGTGGGATGTGCTGCGGAGGAGTCACTTTGTGAAAAGCCAAGGTGCCAAGACCCCAGGTTTGGGTCCTGTCTCTGTCTTCCTTTAGCTTTAATTCAGGCAGAGCTTGGTCCTGCTCTCATTTATAAAGCACAGCAAAGCAGCGGTTGTAAGCAGATTCAAGGATACTCTACAAACAATGTCCAGCTATTTACCACATCTCTAAAACAAATGAGGAAAACAGAAGTTACAATATTAAGGTATAATCAAAGAAGAGTGTGGTAAAGAAAAGCATGGTAAAGAATGGATAAATGCCTGGGCAGGTCCTCAGCTTATGTCTAACAGCATACCCATGCTGACTGCGGTTCATGTCAGTTGAATCATGCTAATTTGCATTAATTTAGAATCTAGCCCAGGCCTCTGTATTATATGAAGTGAAAGTTATTATTTGGGCTTCTCAGTCATATACAGTAACTTATCTCAGATCCTTGATCAAACTCCTCAGATTTCACTGAGGTTGATCAATACCAGAATCGAACTTGAGAGTCAAAGTGATGTCGTAATTCTTACTTGTTCTGCAAACTCTTTGTCTTGACTGTTTACCAAATTACTGAAATACGAGGGACTGACATCAGTCGTATGTCCAAGGCAAATTCTAAAGGCTTTTCCATTATGTTACAATCCTGCTTTCTCCAAAATATGCTACTGTGTGATGTTAGCATTACAAGCAATGATGAGATTTTTATTTGGTTGGAGGCAAGGGTGTTGCTCAAGCTGACTCCGCAGTGTCACATGTGAACTCCCACATCCTCTTGCAGACATGAAAGGAAATGTTCTGAGCTAAACAGATTTTCTATATTGTTGTTATTTATTGTTTAAAGACAAGGAGTTAGGAAATCAACAACAGAGTTGTCTGTGCTTTGCTTTGAGACTGGGGTTAATTTCTGGAGCAGTGGAATTTTATAAGAACCAGGCACTGGTGTCAGATTCTCAAAAGGAGGGATTTTCTGCTTGTTGTTTATAACTGCTTCTGTTCTGGGCTGGTATGTCAGTAAAACAATTTATACTAAGAATATTCTCAGATATTCCATCACTTACTCCCTGTTGACTAGGAAGGTGGCCTGAAAGACCTGTGATCTGCACTAACTTCAGAAAGGAAAAGCTGTACCATGGAAAAAAGACTTCTTTAATAGCATGAAAAAGCTATCTAAGAGATAGAGTACTTCATCTGTATTTTCAGTACCAAGACCACCTGCAAGTGATAATGCTTGTATGGATTTTAATTAGAGAAACAACATTTTCTTGCAATATCTCCTTTCCCTTTCCAAGCAATATAGCTGAATAGTTTAAGTTGCTATGGTTACAATGGGTTGTGGCAGACTGTGGATCATCATGACAGTGACATATTTGCACGTAAAGAACAAAGGCCGCATCTTTCCTTTTCAGCCAGATGATTTTAGCCCTAAGTATTTCTATGATTTTAAATCAATTGATGCAGCTTGACATAACAGTCATACTAGGTGAAGAAAAATGAAAACTTCATGGTAGTTCAACTTTTCAGTTTAAAATGAGTTCCTTTGCAATGAAGCATTATTCCAGTTAGAAGTTTATTTTAAGAAAATAAATAGTACTTTTCAACAACCCGTATAGAACAGGAGTTTTCATATATGCTTTAAAAAGAATGCCAAGCTGTTGCCTTGGCTCTTGAGCTATTAAAGGCACAGTCTGTTTCTCATGAATGAAGAGCAAAGAGCTGGCTGAGATTCTAACTCTCTCCTAGTTTTGATCCATTCTATTTGAAAATGTAGCAATCTTATCTTCCCACTGCATTGTGCAAGTATTTTTCATTATAGATTGGCATCACATCCACTAGAGTACTTAGTGTCTTCCATTTGGAGGCAGCCAAGTCCCTTCTTTTGATCCAAAACAGTTGTTAACTCTCTGAAGTATTTCTTTATATGAAAAAATAAGAGACAGATCCTTGAAACATTTTAGCAGAATGCTGTGTGAAATTAATTTCTAGGAAAAAACAAATCTATAGGTGTGTAGGGTACAGAGGGAGAAAGGGAGTGTCTGTGCCTGTGTGCATTCTAGCTTTCAGATGTTTTCATCCAACTAATTTCAAGGGTTAAGAGCAAGATAGCGTGCTAAAGTGATTCCAGATGGGCCAATATTAATATCTTTCTTTTCCTGATGAATGAGAAGGTATGACCTAGTTAGAAAACTGCTAAAATTACAGGCGCCACAGAGGCTTCAGCTGGTGCCCTACCACATAGATATTTATACTTACCTCTGCAATTATAATGCTGATGAGCTGCTCGAACCTGCTGAAGGAGACGTTCCAGGGCCTCAGTGTGTCCCCTGTGCCGAGGTTCTCTTCCACTGCAGTCTTTCCAGTCTATTGAACAAAGGAAATAAACAGAAATGAAACACAAAGGAGCAGGAGAAGGTTTTAAAATATTTTCTTGCCTCTGATATTTCTTGGCTTTAGAGGAGCTCTACATCTGGGCACGCAGGAAAAAATGGCAGTTGTTTTTTAAGTCTGCTGTTATTACTTGTACAATAAGTTTCCTTTGCCTTGTGCCTGCTAGGTAATTAATCATTACGGTTATTATCAGAGAGTCCCCAATCAGCTCCTAGAAGTTCCTGTAGTGACTGGCTAGACAATGGCTATTTCTCTTCAGTACATAAGTGGCCTCTGTTACTGCAGTGTCAGAGCTGCTCTCAGCCTGGACCCTCCCAGCTCTCCCAGCACCTCCCTGGGATCACACCGCTGCTCCCTCTGCATTGCAGGCTCAAGGACTCCTACAGCCACACAGGAAAACGATTGCAAAGCAGAGAATGAACATCTTCCTACACCCAGAGCTAGCTCTGGAGCCACAGAAACATGCTCTGAGTAAAATCACTTCTGAAGATCTGCTCCCAGCAGAGGCCTGAACGAATGCTGGCAATTCCTGCCCTAGAACTAGGGCTACAACCTCAATCTTGGTTTTAAAAAACAGGCAATCTTATCACAAATAGGAGATGAAACAGTGTGTATCAGAAAGGAGCTTTTTAATTCCAGACTTGACTACTTCCATACTTTCATTATAATGAGAAAAGAGTATTGCACCAGTTTCCTGACTCAAAATGGGTCAAGCTACAAGGAAATCTGTCTACATGTTAGACATGCTTCCATCTTGCTGGCATAGAGGCCATGTATGTATTCACAGCCACCAACAAACAGTTTGCTCACTCGCTAAATATACAGATCTAGTTCCTAGTGCAAGTTTGGTGTCAAGCATTCCTTCCAACAGGCTCACTATTCCAAGGATATAAATATACTTTTGCTGCCATTTAGCATAGCAGCTAGAGTAAGCCCTATGAGAGGATGGAAAGAGAAGACATTTGCTCTCCTGATAGCCTGTGGGCAGTTGGAACAGCTGCGAGTGGCTGTCCTGCTTGTTGTATGTTTTTGTGGAGATCAAGGGCCAGCTGCATTTATAGCTCGGTGTGGGGAGGCCAGTTCTTAGATCTCTTGTGAGCAGCCAAGAGGAACCAACTGGAATTCACCAATCTCAAAGTGCTTTGGTGTCATCAAACTGTAAAGCTTCAACCAACCTCATGATTTCTCTATCCCAGTGGTTTCTAAACTTTCTGAGCCTGTAGAGTGCTGACTATCTTAAAAATGACATGGAAGTCAGCCCAGCTTCTCACATACTAACAAATAAATCTGGAAATGTTACTGTCTACTAGGATTTCACAGACCAGCTGCACAACACTGGCCACCACTTTCCAGGCTGCTACTATGTATGTGGGGGAAACAAGAGGACAGAGGTGGGCATTCACTGTCATGCTACGTGGATGCATATCTCCAAGATGTCACTAATCTTTGATGCTCTGGGATTGGAATGGATCAGGATTAAGCCCTGAAGCTTTCGTTTCCCTTGCATATTCTTCTGGCTGCTGTTACAGACAACTTGAAGAGTATTAATGTATTCACATTTAATTTTTAGCTTAGGGCCATATTTTGTTATGCAACACTGGTGTAATTTCAGGTTGCTGCCGCCTTGCCAAGCACAAATCTGCTAGTTTTCAAAACCAGTGATGAAGGCAGTCGTGGATAGAGAAGCTCTGCCCCCAGTAAATAGCATCTTGACTCTCAAGTTAAAATTCTGATCTTAGTATTACTTAATGAAAGAATGTACATTTAGGCTCTGATGGTCTCACTTGCTGTAAAACTTAAGCATGTGTCACTAAGGATTTCTTAAGTCATAGTGACTAGATAACAATGTTCTGTCAAAGGCCTGGAGAAGAATAAAAGATTAGATAAAAAAAATAAACATATATGTTTGTTTATTTTTAGGGGGTGTAAGAAGTTGATTTCTATTTATTTATTTATTTATTTAACTCCTAGAGGACATGGCCCCAGAATATTTGTCTTTTTCTGTTCTTTGAAGAGGCAGAAATTCTGAGAAAACAGCATCACTAATGAAACTAGGAGGGTAGACAAACTCAACCTACTTGAAGGAGAAGCATATGCAGGAGTAGATTTGCGTGGAGGTCCCCATCCTCTCATGTTGTACGCTGAAACATGGACATAATACCTCTGGCCCTGCAAATGGAAACAATTGGAGTCAAAACTACCACTTGACTCAAAATCTTGGCTGTAATAACTAGAGAGCAGACTCTCCCAAGGATGTTTTCTTTGAAAAACTGATAGTAGCTTTCAGCAGCATCAACTGATGCACCATGACAGATTGAAACATAGTATGGAGATTTCAGGAGAGGTGATCTGCTGAGGGTTAAAAGAACACACCAATTCCAACCAGCAAACTGGAAGCCAAACCCTGGGAACTCTTACAATCAGACTTCAGGAATAGGGACTCCCCTTTTTCCTGTTGTATTTAACAGAGTCTCTCTACCAGCACAGCAATGGAAGAAGCTGCATTTGGCTGCCACTGAAATCAGTCAGACCTTTATCACTGATTTTGATGTATAAATCTAAGCAATGGAGAGTATTTCTGAAAGCCTAACTTTTAATTTAAACATGTTATATACTTTGGATAGTACACAGAAACAAACACATAGTAAGCACTGTGCACTGTGCAAGCTTGCTTGATTGTGACTTAAGAACAGTTACTCTGTTTTGTTGTTAGAAAATGAGAAACAGAATAAACGCATATTGTGGCTCAGCTCCCTGGAAGAAAGTGTGCTTCAAATCAAAGATTTCTTCAGATAAAAGGCTAGAAATAATCAATATTGTTTCTATTCTATGTAGAGGGTTGTTTTTGTGGGTTTGTTTTTTTTATATTGTGCCCATTGCTTACTCTTTAAAGTTAATTGTCTCATTTGAGGGCACACGTTTTGGGGCACTGTCCAGGGGTAACCTGTAGGTACAGGTTACCTGTACCTACTGTAACTCTGCAGATCTGATTCAGTGTGCAGTGCATTTATTGGAAAGGCTCCAGCTCAAAGGATGCTGGATTGGGCCCCTCTGATGTTGTTTCCAACATTGGGAAATATTGTGGAAATAGTTGTATTTTGAGCAAGCTTTCTTTTCATCAAGTATTTTGTGAATTAAAATTTTCTTGCACAAATGATCCCGAACAGCCTGTAGGAAAAAGACCTTCAGACACAGAGTCAACTCAATTTTCTCCACCACTGGCCCAGTTCTTATCAGTGTAAAATATTTATACAAAAACAAATAACAGAAATTAAAATTATTGCCATCAACATGCGTGTCCCTGGAAGAAATAGAAGAGAAAGAATTATTATTTTAGCTATTGGTCATCAGAGTCAGGACTAGATCTTTTATGAGCCTTTGATCTGCACTAAGATTATCCTGTGATCCAGAAAACAGCAGCTTTCACTCTAGTCTTTTCTGATCTCCCCTAAGCACGACAACTTGTAAAACAGTTCATGCTGTCTGTCTATTCCTTTGTGACTTCTGGATTATGGATACCAGGCATATTATGCTCAATGACTGGAACGTGTTGCTAGAAGAAAGGCTCTCTACAGTTATTACCAACAGGCACAGATGCAAATTGTCAGTGTCTCTGTATCAGCGGGGTGCCAGGGGGAATCAAGATCTAAATGAGTCCTTTGGCACTTACCGTTCTGAGACCTGTGATGGTGCACCTCAAAGACTGAAGATTATCCATAATTATTTCACCAGCCAAAGGAGAAAAGTCTTCTGAAGAGCTCCATTCCACTAGGAAACAAATAGCAGGAGAAAATCAAATCAGATACCAGTCTAAGCAACGAAATCAAAGTACCTGAACCACGCACAGGTTAAGCTTTCTCCTGGCTGTTTCCCATTCCATGTGGGTACTAAAAGTCACGCTTAACAATAATGTTTAGCAAAACCTTACACAATAATTATATCTCTGTGTATGAGAGAGAAAAGCAAAATACTGCTCAAAAGCTTTTCAGGAAAGAATGCTTAAAAATACACTGCCATACAAATTATGTTCAGTCAACATTTGCCCTCGTTTAAACAAATCCCTTTTAAAGAAACAGAAGTAGTGGAAAAGAGTAGGTAGAGGATCTGGACCTGCTAATGCCATTTGGCAGATCATACATTCAAACCAGCAAAAAGTACTGTTTTGCAATTGGATCTGCAGAGGGTAAGGCATGGGCAGAGAGACCTTCTGACTCCACAGGTCTACAAAACTCTCATCACCAGCCTTGGCTAATTTGTATAGAAATATCCTCCTTGGACTAGATTAGACACTCACTGGAGTCTCTTCATTGGTTTCAGTGGGTTCTGGCTCTCTTGTCCAACCCTGATTCTGCTGTGGTCACTGAAATTACAGAGCTCCACAAGGACCAATTAAGTTGTGTCCACTTTTGCAGTGACTGAAGCTGGCACATCCCTCCCAACCTGTCCCGGAGCCTAAATGACAATGGGGACCTTCACCAAAGGGCTCCCATAAGCTTGTACAGATGACTCATATTCCTGCTTTAGGGGTTATGAAACCAGTCATCCTGCTGTCAGTGCTCTTCCTCAGTACTTGCAAAAATGGATGTGCATGTAAAATAGCATCAAACAGACCATGAAAAACTACTAGATGATTTTTAAAATAGAATATATGCAAGGGGGAACTAATATTTTCTTTGCATAATTATTATTATTGGAGTCAATAATTTAGAATAGTTCAGAGGGTATAGGTATTTTAATTTCAGCATGTAGAATTTTCATCTTCTGGTTGTGTCACACTGGTATTTTCACGTTAAAAGAAAGAAACTTCTCAGAATTTTTTGCTCAGCATATACATTTAACTGCCAACACATTTTTCTAAAATACCCAAGTATCAATAGCACAACTCATTTTTCCTTTCTCTCCTAATTGCTCCTTTTCTGTGATTGCAGTTTGTGAATGCACAGCATGTTCTGCAACATTTATGTATTTGCTGGAATGAAAAGGATATTGGTTCTGCCTATTGTCTTTGAACTTTTTCAGTGTATATTTTTCTAGTTTTCCCCGGGTTTTAAATACCAGATTACCACCACCTTTAGTGGAAGCAATCTCTGTACATTAGTATGAAAATGTAGAAGCTGTTAAGGTACCACATTGTAGGTTTTTGTTGACAACTTAATTATAGGAATGCTGGTATGTACCATTGAACTTGATGGCCTGTCAGAGTTTCCACTGCAAACCCTCATGTTCAGAGTTTATAACTCCACTGTGTTAAATCATTGAGGACATTGTATACATGCTGCAAACTTAGATGTGTGGTCTGTTTTCCAGAAGGATAAATTGGAGATGTCCTGGTCAAACTGATGAACATGTTATCAAGAGACTTGCAGCCACTTCACGTATCATTTTTCTTTTCAAAGGTACATGTAAAGTAAGAGAGTGTCACTCAAGACAGATTCTGCCAACAAATCCTGTCTTCATTGAAACTCCCGGGCATGACTGACAGCTGCTCAGCACGAGGGGCCGTGCTAAGGTTGTGCTTTAGACAGCAAAAGCCAGGGTGAAATAAGCAGCTTTAAGCTGCTCTTGAGCTTCCCAAATTTTTAGGTGTTCTATAGACTGGAGAGTGCCCAAACATGAACTGGGAGTTCAAGAGGCATATTTAAATTTGGGCAGCCTACAGAAATTAACATTGCAGCTCCATTCTGCATTCTGGCATTTAGAAAGGTGCTCCATATATTTAGAGATCTAAATATCACTGCCTGGAGAGGAATTAACTGCCTTAATCCAAACAGGATTGTAATCCTACACCTTTGCAAGGGTGTGTACAGCAAGAACAGCATGATACTAGTATTATGACCAGCAACAGCATGGCAGTTTATTCTAAGGATCACCAAGTTCAGAGAAAGAAGCTGTTACTAAAGGGAGGAAAGGCTGACATTGCCCATAAAGCCATCTCAGGAGCAGGTGAGGAGGTGGGTTTTGAAATAATAAATGACAGCTTTGCTCTGACGTTCTACAGCAAAATGTTGTCCCAACGCATGTCGTTGGTGAAACCCCATGTGCAGGGCAAACCCCCTCATCCACTTGCTGGGTGACACCATGATCTCCCAGTCCTTTGAAGGACAAGGACTCACTAGGGAGAGTGACCAAGTCTGCTAGTCCTTTCACAAGTTACTGAGGAGAGCTGTGTACCCTCTGATCCCCCCAACCAGCTGAGGCTTCACAGCCTGTTAGGCTGAGGCTCAGCTTCTCATTATGCAGCCAAGTAGTGCCAGAATTTTGCACTTATTTTTTCAGCTTACACTGCGGTGGCTGAGACCCATGAAATTAAAAACATAGGAATGTGATATTAGCTTGTGGATCAGGTTATGGTTATCATTACCATTGAGAACCTCTCTTTTATAGGATATTTACCTAACAAGTTGGTGTATACAAAGTTACTCCAAATTCAATTTTCAAATATATATATTTAAAAACTTCATATTTGGAAAACCCCCTGGCCCCCAGTTTCAATAAAAATTTCCATAACTGAAAAATAAATATTTTTTGAGCAGCTGTGCTGGAATAGTGCCTTCTTTTTCCTCTTGTTTCAAAATATTACAGAAAACATATCAATGGGACACACTGAAGCATTGCTAGTTTTGACAGAATTTCATTCTCTGACTCATGATTTCCATCATAAAGAAACATAACAAATGTTGGAATTTTTTGCTTACTTTTGATTTCAAAAAACTTTTTTACCCACTATTTTACTGATTCAAGTGAGAATAGGATGACGATATAATTTTAAAGAAATGCAAATCAACTTAAGTCATTTATCACTTAAGTTTCTATCTCCTGTTATACATTGCTAGATTTCAGCTTTCTACTATAATAGTTGTCTAAAAGTAATACATAATACTCTACTATACTAATTCATTCGGTTTTAACCCTTTTAGGAGGATGTGAATACCATTTTCCCTATTTTATAGGTGGAAAGATAAATGTAAGGAGGGAGAGGCAGAGCCTCTTGTTGGTTCAGCAGACCCCAAAACAACAAGGGACAAACTCCTATGGCCTCTATTACATTTATTAGGCCAGTGTTGCTCATGCCTTCTGGCTCTGTAGGGTAGATATAGCTCTTTCTGGTACCAATACGAAGCTACACGTCTACGGTCTTACCCTTGTGATTAACCTGGATCTAAAATTATGTAACTTTTTGCACGAGGAACCCATCATGGAGACTTTGCTAAGTCTTTGCCTGCTTTCTGAGAGAGAGCTGGGGGAGACTGCTCTGGTAGTAAACAAAAAATATCAACCATTTGTGTAACTCTAAAGTACTTGGGACTTTAAGAGAGAACAAAAGGCTAGCTAACCTCAGTACTTTAAAAGTTGAATATAAAAATGCACAAGTATAAAAACCTGAAGATGAAGAGGGTCCTTTATAAGAGCCCAGGAACAAGAGCTGGTCTTGTAGACTGCACCAACTGTGCTGTAAAGGACCTGAAAGCTGTTGGGTGAATTAAGGATGGAGCATGTTCCAGTCCTGTTCTGAACACCCCAAAGGCCTGCTTTGTCGTGAACACTGAATGTCTTCGCTGTTGCGGCTTTCCATCTGACACTTCACGTTATGTCAGAGCAGGGGTTTTTTGTGTGTTTAATATATTGGTCACTATGTGTTTTAATGAAGGTGCCCTGTATTCCAGAGCTAGCAAATGCACGATGTGTTGCTGCGGTCGCCAAGATAAGTAGTAATTTTTAAATAAACAGCAGTATAAACAGTTACATAAAACTCATGTAAATTGCTGGCACATAATTTTAGACTGGCTTAAGTTATGTAACCTACTTGTGGCCAAGTTGCTTTTTTTTTTTTTTTAATACTCAATTCATGCACTTTAAAATAAAGGGAGAAGTTTATTTTCACCTGTTTCTTTCCCACTCACTATATTTCTGTTACATGGAGCACGCCTTAAACAGCTTATCAAAGAGATTGACAGACAGACAAGAAACAAAGTGAAGGCACAAAACACCTCCTGACCCTATTGTAGATTCTTTCAGGAAAGCACCTTCTCCTGAGTCGAGTAAATAGCCTGAGCCACAGCAGAATTTGTCATTTCTTTTGGCATTTGTTTTTGCTTGCACTTAAATTACTCACTGAATTGCTGAGTAGATTAATTAGACTCAGGGACAGGAGTTCTGTTGCTAAGCTGATGGAGTTTACAGAGCAGTGCACTGAGCTGGGATTCTGAGTTTTATTCTTGCATTTGCTACTGACTTGCTATGTGACCTTAGGCAAAGCATTGTGCCACTATGGCTTTCAACCCACACTTAAGCAGCAAAGATTCTCTCTCCTTCCCTTCCTCCCCGGGTCCTGGGCCGAGGCTGAAGGACACAGGGATCTTGGCTTGTGTTTCTGAGGGCCTCCAAACAAATAATTGCATTGTTCAATAGCCTCCCTTGAAATGTAAAACTGAAAGAGACCACTAGTACCAGAAACTACCACACACTGTCTTTTTCTGCCTGCTGATCTTTATGAAATGATTTTAATAATCTACACTCATAAAGTCTTAGCTGCTTGATTTAAGGATATTGAACACTGCCATTCATGTGAATGAAATCAGGATGAAAGTACCAAAATAAATATTTAGAAGTATAACACAAAGAGAATTAACACTAGTGAAAAGCAGGAATTGGTTTGTTAGTGTAGCCAGCATCACCAGCTCAGATGGAGAACACTGCAGTATTTGGTCAGCTCCTCCTTGCTGCCTCGAACTGTTCTTTCCAGCCTGAATTAAGAAAGGAACCCATTT